GGTATAGAAAATGTGTTGGTGTAATATCAATGCATTGAGAAATTGTACATTTGAGCTATACTAATTGTTCAACTCTTTTCTATTCCCTGATTTCCCTATACATCTGTTAACTGTCCTCGTTAAAACAGACATGCACTCTTTAGTTATTAATGCGACATTTAAGTTCTATGTATTACGGAGTGTCTTTTTTCAATTGTGGCTATTGTGGGTTATGACTGTTCAATTTCCTCATTTCAGTCATAACTCACAATAGCCACAACTGAAATGAGGGAATTGAACAGTCATAACTCACAATAGCCACAATTGAAAAAAGACACTCTGTAATACGTAGAACTTAAATGTTGCATTGATAACTAGAGTGCACGTTTGTTTTAACGAGGACAGTTAACGGATGCCTAGGGAAATCAGGGAATAGAAAAGAGTTGAACAATTAGTATAGCTCAAATGTACAATTTCTCAATGCATTGATATTACACCAACACATTTTCTATACCTATAAGGCCCTGACACTCATTCTTTATAAGATTTTAGATTTTAGATTGAAAATGAAGTATCTATTATATCAAAATTATCTATTCTTCATTAAAAGTTGGAATTGAAGCTTTATATTGGCTTTCCACCTAATAATTAATACTCCGTATTAGTTAGGCATGTGACCATATAAATTCATACAACACGGACAGTGAGTGTTTTATACAACAAAATTGTATGCCATCCTTGATATTGTCTTTATTAATTATTATTGAATGATATTTTTAGACTTCTAAATAAGACTATTCTAAACAACAGACATTTCACTTGTAGATAACTTATTCTTACTAGTGAATGGACTAAAATACTCCGTAATATTTAGCTCGTGTTTTATGTGACCAAATCTATCACGATCGTTTGCATACCTCTACAACATGCATAATATGTCTAATCAATACTTTTTTAGTTACTCACTTGAAGGTAATACTTGATATAATAATGACGTTAAGGCATAATAATAATTTCAATATTGTTACTACGATGTTTCATATATAAGAATTATAACACGTCAATTACATCAATTATTATCGAGGGACTACATTAATTCATAGCACACAATCTTTGAAATGTACTCGAAGTGGACATGTCAATTAATTTTCCTTATAACAAACATCTAAATGACTAAATGAGTAAATTAATAAACATTATTATTGATGTGAGATACCAAACTTTTTAAGATCAATATGTTTATAACAATATGTACCGTTCAATAATGTGGCCACCTACTTAGCATATCATAAAATACATCAATAAAGAGAACTCACAAATCAAAATTACTACAATAGGGGTTTATAACTTATGTTTATTAATTAATGACAAACTATTTAAGTACAAAAGATATTTAATGTTTACCCTAAAATATAATTCTAACCGTAATTAAAAAAAATTAGTCAAATAAAGACGAAATCATTAAAATTTATCAAAGTGTCGTGCATATAAGTTGTAGCACTTGAATTTAGACATAAAAAGGGACTCAAATATATAATCTTCTTAAACAGTTAAACTTAAATTTGATCAATTTAAAATTATTTATGTCCGCTTTGTTTTCCAATATATTTCATTGAGTGGGACATTTTTATCATCTGATCTTATGAGTCATGAGACTTTAGAATTTCGATAACTTGATCTAGTAAAAAGCGCGTAAAAAAAATTCATCATACATTCATAAATATTTGATGGAGTATATGGCCCAGGACCCCCCCCCCCCCCCCCCCCCATGCCTGCAGTGAACAGGCCCAACACTCACAAGTGACCCGGATACCACGACCCAAATACAAGGCAGTCCACCCCTTGCAAGGAACACCCCCAGGCCCAAGCCCAAAGGCGCTAAACTCCGGGAATCACCCTAGTTTGACTCAACGACAAGTCTGGAACATCCGCTTCCTTGAGCAAGACCTCAAACAAGAGCCTTTAGCATTGACGCCAACTACCACATTTAATGCCGCACCACGTGCCGGCATCCGCATCACATGCTTATACGTGTATGTGCATTTTATGCATTAAACATAGTAGCTTTTGGACAGTTATAATGGACTATTGTTCAACAGTAGTATAAGGCTATCTATCATATTTAACTCTGTACTAGACGTTTTGTAAAGTGTGCACATGGAGAGCTCAATCAAATTGGCTTTCACTTCCATGATTTTGTTTTTATTAAAATAATTCCAAAATATTATTCTGTATCAGTATAGATAGAGGATACAAATATGATTTAGTGACTTTTAATGACTATTATTATGTGCAAACATTACAATTTAGTGATGATAAAAGTATATTCATATTCAATATACACTTTATTCACATTTTTATCCATGTATATCATTCTAATTGTACTTGAGAATAGTAATGGACTCGGGCCGGGTGGCCCGACCCGGGACCGGCTCGGGACCGGCACTATTCCGGCCCGGCCCGAACCGGTGGCCCGGCCAGTGACCGGTCCGGGTAGGCCCGACCCAAGGGGTTTCTGGTCCGGGCTCGGGGTCACCCAAAACATGAATCGGCCCGGCCAGTCTGGGCCCGGTTCCGGGCTTTTTTTTTCTCAACTTGTTTTTTAAATCCCCGGGTTGGGCTAGGTATTAGGGCCATTTGGAGTGGTTTGGGGGGTTGGGGTTAGGGGGGTGGTCGGGGTAATTAAAAAAAGAAAAAAATGTAAGAGGCCCGGCCCGAACCCGGTGGCTACCCGGGCCGGTCCCGGGCCCAACATTTCCTAACCGGATGCCTGGTCGGGCCTAGGCCCGGCCCGAGTCCACCACTGCTTCAGAAAAAACCTCATTTTTATTTTTTAGAAAAGGGACATATTATCTCTAGCTTTGTGAAATATAAAAATGACTAAATTCCTTTTTTTACTGAATTAGTCTAAATGTTTTCTTATTGCAATTTATATTTAATCTCTATCCCAGTTCCCAGCCCACCCATCCGAACTCGGAAACCACTGTTGAAAAATCGCCGAAAAGTTATGATGATTTTTTTATTTTTTTAAAAAAATTCGACAAAAAAAGTCATCAAAAGTTATGAGTCATAACTTTTGTTAGCTGTTGTGGTAACATGTTTTAGAGCGACAGTACACCTGTACGACAGTGAGATCCATCGATAGATGGCATAAAAAACTAGCATTTCAGCATTTGTATAAAAATTTGGTAGTGAGTAGTGACATATTAATCAGATGATTATATCATGTTTTTAATTGTCACAATTTTGTCCATGTGTATAAGTCGTCACTTTTTAGAAATGAGCTTCAGTTTTGTTACATTTAAGGAAATCCCCCCAAAATAAAATGTATGGACATGGTTTGGGTCATAATTTGTTAATTTCGATATATTAACATAATCAATAGTCGAATTTAATCAAAAAAATTCAAAGTATTATTGAACGTAAAATAAAACGTTAAAGTGAGAAAATATGAAGTTGGTGAAATTCAAAGTATTAGATCATAATTTTGGAACAAAAAAACCTATCTAACCAAGTTGGATACCTTAAGAGCCCGTTTGATAGTTTACACATTAAAACTTTACATGCAAAGTGATTGCATGTAAAGTTTAGGGCCGTAAAATAGTTTGCATGTAAAATAGAAATACATCGGTTAGGTGTGTGATCTATTTTTAAAATAGACTTAAACTGTTTACATCCTAACGTCCAGCTCTTCTTTTACGCCCCCTTGCCGAAGGATCTCCACACCTTCACCAATTGGAGCGGCACTCATGAGGTCTAGACTTGCAATTTCTTCGAGCCGGAATATTCCTTGGAAGAATTGGAAACTATTGTGAAGGACTTTGTATGTTTAAGGGATACTTCCTCTGTTCGGAAAAGAATGCAACATAGGGCTGGGCACAGATATTAAGAAGTAAAGGAACAGTAATTATCTTTCCTATTTTGCCCTCCACTATACGGACAAAACAATAAAGCACATAAAGTGATACAGTCACATCGGTCAAGGTAAACTCTGTCCTTCGGCACTAACTTCGACCGCACCCTCTTCACCATAAACAAAATTAGACGGAAGAAGCTTCATTGATTCTGAGGATCACACTTAGCCGCAGCAGTGGAGTCTATCAATTTCTTCTCCAAGCAAGCAACCAGCGTTTTTTTCTTTTCAGAAACAAGCAGCCGTAGGAGTAGTTTTTATGCTATTCTTCTTGTTCGTAGAGAGTCCAGCCGCCAGGAGATCATCAATTCTTTTCTACACTTAGCCGTAACAGTGATTTTTGTTTTCGTTCCTTCTCCTCAAGCAGCCGCACCAGCAGAAATCAAGGACATCAGTAGTTTTTTTAGTATCCGGAACCACCAGATCAGAAGTAGATACTCATGGCGGAGTAGCCGGAGAAATATCAGTTCCACCTCTGTTCACGTCTTTCATTTCAACGGTAACTGAAGTACAAATATGAGAAAACAAAATTAAGTGAAGAAGATGGTGAAGAGAGAAATAAAGAAATGGCTGAGTGGGTGAAGAGAGTCGGTGGAGGAGAAGGGGCAGTAAAGAGGCCGGAATGAAATGGGTGGGTTCCTGTGTTAAAGGAAATGTCAGAAGAGGGAGTAAATAGTTGAGGGTATAAAAGTCTGTTTGGATAATATTTCCTTCCTAAAATAGAAGTGTTGCATTTAATATGAAACTGTCGAAAAAGGAAAGTGTTGCATTTATTTAAGAACGGAGGAAGTATACTTCTAAATATGGAAGACAAAATGATATATTGGGAAATAATATTGCTCATATTGTTGTCGAGAAGGTGGGAAAATCTATGGAATCAAGTCACCAACGTTTGATGTCGAAAAGGCTTACTCACTTCTTTGGCAGAGGTTTTACATGCTCTCTACGCAAATTGGAAAAGGACATCCAAGTAGAGAGGTTTTAATTCGGATTCATATACTACGTAGGTGGACTGGAGGTTAAAACCTGCGGCCAATGTTTTTGCTTTGCCGCTACGTTGGAATCGCAATTCAATATTGCGTATATTTATTTTGTCTCATATTAACGGGTGTAAAGTAGTTTATGACTCTCCTCCCATGTAAAATATTTTACATGGTACAGTGTAAAATGTTGATAAAAAAGTGCCCTACAGTTTACATTAAATAGTTAAAACAAACGGTGTAAAATGTTTACTTCCTTACACTTTACACGCAAAGTGTTTACTTTACATCGTAACAAACGTTCCCTAAAAAGAGATACGGTGTTAGTAGGTCACGAACAGTGCATAAGCCCACACGTCATAAATAATAGCAACACTCAATTCATAAAAGATGTATATAAGAGATATAAAGAGGCGTGGTTTGTAGTCTATGCTTGTGCAGAACGCCCAAAGTAATACCTGCATGCACAGAAGATACCCATTCAAAATGTCGAATGGAAGAAGCCTGAAAGCTAACTGCATTCCTAGTGCACAATAGAGGAAGAAGCCTGAAAGCTAACTGCATTCCTAGTGCACAATAGAGCAGTGAAGTGGAAAAGATGGACGTGACATGTGCGCAACAGAGAGACTTACACATAAAACTTTATGCCAAAAATGGCTGCATATTTCCGCAGGAGACGCTCAATGGTGTACCATTCTGACCTGTCAATCCCACCTTGATAGCCAATCCGTGGCATGTGGATTGATGCTTCACACACGCCCCCAAAGAGAAAACAAACCAAAGCAATTAAAATGAAAAGTTCAGTCTAAATCACACGCCTTTTCATAGGCAGCTTGAAAAGCATTGATGATAAAATCGTAATAACAGAAACAACAGAAAATTTACGTATATCACTACGAGAGAGGGAAATGACCAATTGACCATGAAACCAATGCAGTGACAAGATATCATGCACTACTACCATCTAAAAAATCAGTCATGGTTCTAATGCTAAGATTAAAATGGTTCTCCAAACATGACTCCTCTTGCTGGGACAGAGGGGGTAAACTATTCTTGGAAAGGTTGTATTTTTAATCGCCTGATTCTTGACACTTTAATCTGGGAGCCTCTACATCAAAAACTGTATAGAGAAATTTGATCCTTACACCCCCGTCCCAAGGACTTCCACCCGTGATCTTCCTTTAACACTTGACTTTGCACCTTACTCTCGGGTGCTCTAGGGTGCATGTTCGAGGAGAAGTCAAATATTGGGGCAACGCATGGGAGGTTCTATGTTTTTAAACCAAAGACCAAATTCCCCCTTTGTAAGTTTATTCCTCCAATCTTTATAAACTTATAACTGAGATGCATTATTCCCCACCATTTAAACTGCCCTTTAGTATTAAGATTGTATGAAAGCATTCTCAGTAAAAATAGAATGCCTTACAAACCCCAATTTTTAAAGGTGTAATCAGTGATGTAACAAGATGGACAAATTGTATCTAAATTAAAACAACCAAGGAACTAGATTTAAAAATATTGAAATATAGGTCTCATTATAACTTACTATCAAACGATTGAGGGGGCTACAAGTGCGATTTTTTATATACTCTATATGTCAATGGCTGATGGGATAGGGGCCGTATCCAAAATGAGACGTGGAAATTGAAGTACTAGTTAGTAGTTAGTTAGTTACTAATTAACACATAATGAGAGCATATAAACCAAAATACCAGACTTCTGAGCAGCAACATAGGATGCTTTCAGTAGGCACTCTTCTAGGTCGGGGATGGATATGTTACTCCTCCGGACTTTTCTCCTCGGATTGTATGACTGCGCAACAGCCAAAGCAACCCATTGGGGAGTGTGAGGTAACATACTGTTACTACTGCAATCCTCTGTTACCACAGCACAATACATACAATTGAAGGTTCGGAAACATTTTAACTCCCAGAAAATTGGAAAGGAAATAAATAAGGTTACCAATAAGAAACATGCATACTCCCAATTTCACAATGAAAATTACAAGTGAAAGAAAAGGAGGATCTTGTTGGGTCAGTTTGGATAAAGATTTCTGGATGGTTTTCGAGGGCTTAGTCTATATCTTTACAAATTGCTTCTAGATGGTGATCGAAATGTTACATGATCAACTATTATGCTATTACTTCAATTATTATGAAATCTCATGCACATATCAAAATATAGGCTTAACCAAGTGAAGTGGGGTATCACCTGAACAGAGCTGATAAAAATGGTTTACCTGTAATTTCTATGAGATGAAGATCACCTAAGTGAAGATCACCAAATTCAGAAGCTTGCTCATATGCCTTAGAGATACTTGGTGAAAGTTTGGCTAGTGCATTAAACATTCCTCCATGTCCCCAGTTTCCTGAGTTATCAACGCAGCTGCCAAAAAATGTTAGCCATTAGGAAACCACAGCCATCTCCATCACCACTCCACACATTGCCACCACAAAATGTCAAGAAATTAACTTTATCATGAGAATAATCCATTCAAATAATCAGATTGATAAAAAATGTTCCCTCCATCTCAAAAAAGAGTTTTGTTTTGAGAAAAGTATAACTTTTTATTTTTAGACTCAATCAAGGTACAAGCTTTTACAAATTATGAAAGATCACTTATAACCCTGCGAATTCCAAGATTAGTTGGAATAATTGACTACAAGCACTTGCAGCTTGGCTTTTACAGGAATTTTACTTAAAGACTCCTAAGGACTTTTTTAGGGACAAACGCTCTTGAAATGGGGTCCTCTATCTTTTCTTTTTGGGATGGAGTAAATGAAACCTTCTATGCTAGCCTTGGGATCAACTTCACGCCAAAAAGAGCAAGAGACTAAGCACGTATACCTAGGAATATGAATAACAGACAGAATGAAAAAGGTAATCAGCCTTCTACAAGCTTGGGGTGCATGCATGAAAATACCTGAAAATGACAACCTTGAGGGCGTGCTTACCTGAAAATAACTGTTGGCTCTGATGGACACACGTTCAAGGGAAGTGTGCAATCCCCATAAACAAAATGGACAGAACCAGAATCCGATATAGCATCCTTATCATCAGGGCAAACTGGATCTTTCACAGACAATGAATTATAACCTAGAGCTTCCCATTTGGTAATTTTTTTCTCCTCTGCCCTTTTCCTTGCAGCTTCAGCTTTTAAATGATTCTCCTCCAGTAACCTTCTACTACTTCCCGTTTCCATAGTTGTGGCATTATTTTCCTGCAATACTTCCTTGAACTTTTCAATCCAAGATTGGTATGAAATTTCGTCTACAGCAGGATCCAGATGAACAGAATCTGCTCCCTCAGTGATAGAACAACTCCCGTTACGTATGTCCGCATAATTCATCTGAAACTTATCCAAACGTCGCTCCTTGCGTAACAGAACTACTTTTTCAGCCATTGCATTTAACTCACTCATATCCACTTTATCAGAGTTTTCTTTGCTAATTTCCATGGGATCTAGCATGTGTAAGCCAAATACGATAGATCGTAAATCACCATAATCTGCGCCTGGAATTCCTTTCCCATTCTCTTTCATATCCCCATCTGTAATATCCTTGCCTATGATACTATGGCTCAGCTGCAATTTTTTATTTGCTCTTCGCATGATGACCTAGCACAGAAGAGATGGATCTTTATCTGTAAACCAAACAGGTATTATATATATTTTTATATTATGCACATTCACCTCCTCCACTGTACTCTTGGTAACTAAGTGAATAGATAAAACATCATTCATTTGACCAATCCGGTGAGCACGCTGCATAGCTTGCTTGTCCACCTGGGGATTCCAATCCTGCTCATAAAATATAACCTGCAACCTATCGTGTGTAAGAAGTCAATAGGTCCATGTGGCTGATAACATAAATACATAATCAATCTAAGTATGCAGCACTGCAGCACCAAAAAGAAGAAAGGGGTAATTTTCTGTTGGGGGAGATTAAAAAAGGGTATATGGTAATGATTTAATATCAGAATTTCCGTTTGTGAGATTCATATGGTACACCATTGTGAATAGATACCTATTAATTAGTAACTAAATAATCAATTACTTAACCAGACTTGATTGAGTTGATTCCATCCCACTTTTGCACTGAGCCGCTCATGGATTATGATCCCTTTCAAAGTAATAAGAGAGCATTAGGACAAAATGCCTATTTCAATATCACGACGATAGCAGCACAAATAGCTGCTGAGGGGTTATCATACTTTCAGACAGCAAATACTCTAGAAGGAATGTTGAAAGTGAGCATTGGAAAATTTGAACAAAAAACAGAAGCAGCTCAGTAAATACTTTTGAAGTTATTATGATTGAATAGTGAATAAAATGTAGTTCAGATTCGATTTGATAATCCCATATAACGAAGTTGTGCCATACTCACTGTATCAGCAGCCACGAGATTCAATCCAACCCCTCCAGCTCTTGTTGAAATCATAAAGACAAAAGATTCATGCTGATCAGCTTCTGAATCTGAACTTCCTTTGGATAGTCTCTGGCCAAAACTTCTTATTGCAGCAAATCGTTCCTCTGCCCGAATAGAACCATCTAGACGCACATAGGAATATTTTCTCAGCTCCAGGTAATCCTGCATGAGAATACATCACACACAACTTTGAAGAGAAATATAGTCAACTGTTAATCAGGAGTACCCACAACAATTATACTTGCAATATATCAAGAGTTTGGGTCATCTGGGCAAAAAGAAGAACACGATGTCCAGAAACATGCAATTTCTGAAGTAGACAATCCAGAATAAGAAGTTTGCCACTACCCTGTTAGAAAACATTATAAATCTCAATGAGCAAAGATGCTAAAAGAACAAAAGACTAAATGAGGGGGGATGTATAGGAGCACTTAAAAACATTAATGATATACTGTTTTTGGTATAAGAATATCAGTACTACTCTATATGTTTGATCTGCTCCAGTTCACAGAATCGAAAAGAAATAGTGTTACTACAAGTGAAATGATGTTAAACCTACCAGCACCAGGTGCTCACCCTCTTCATATGGTTCAGGCTCAATGCCAGGAAAAAGGTAAGGGTGACTACATGCTTTTCTTAGCTGTATTACCTGGAAGAAGCAAATAATAAGATCCTAGGGAGAGTTCAGCCAGAGTTTGATCATATAAGTAAACATCAAAAGGCAGTACTTATGCAGTAAAAAGCATTACACAGTGAAACAAATGCATTCCCAGGGAGGGATATAAATATCATAGCTGGTCATTGATGTGCACATGAAACTTTGGAAGCAGGTAAGTTCTTGTGTATGCAAGTATCTAAGATGAAAATGAGGCAAATAATTCCACAAGAGGCTTCTCTTTCAGTCAGATCTTAATCAGTGAATCAAGAACTGCTGATTTATGCACCTAGCTGCTCAACATTATTGAGATTTGAGAAATGTCATGCGAATAAGCTTTAGCAACCACGTATTAATGCGACTTCTTCATGTTATTTTTCTTATTTTCTCTTTTTTCTCGGGAGAAGTATGCTCAAGTTTTCCAAACATTGGATCTGACAATGAATTCAATTAAAGCAAAAAATATTCACAGCGAAAATGTTGAGCAATAGAGAAGAGTATAAACGTATAGTCAATCACTTAATCCAAATGTGAAGGTACTAAACTTGTGAATTATTTGCTTACAATATTCTGCAATGACCGAGTTGAGCCTCCAGAAGAAAGAGCTAGCAACTGGGGTAGTTCCTTTCTCAATATTGACATATACACCGCCTTCTGCAGTTCAACTAAAGGTGCCATCCTATCAAAGATATTATCGCAAGAAACCTAGCTATTAGACAATATCTTTTTTCAAAAGTAGGCATGCAAGATACTAATAGACATAAGATTACACTAATCTCTATTCATTTGAGTTGGTGGCTGTAACCAGAATAAAAGCCAATATTGGATATCAGAATATTGCAGCTACTCCATAGAACTCACACTGTTATCTCAGTTAGAGAAGGTAGTACAAGAGTTCCAGATTCAATGAGTTGAGTTTTAGTTCTTCTAAGCATAAAAGCCCCTAGTATATATTTCAATATTTTGAGTTGCCTATTGGCTCTTCCTGCATCAAGGCCTGTAAGAATAGCCACAGTAATTGGAGTAAGAAGAGATTGGTGTCACAATTGTCAGCACTGAAAATTAAATATCTGAAACAATATAAAGCATGTAAAAATGAAATCCCCTACCAACATTAAATTAATTCATGTCAAAGGAAGTATTGGTTACTTATTGCATCTCACAAACTATTTGTATGAGAATTTTGCATTAAGTATGCATGTACTGATGTGCACCATGTCCACATGTAGTGTCTTTATGTAAGTATGTAAGCATGCATGCAAAAATAACACCCAAACTGCACACAGAAATCTATGTGGACTCATGCAGATACTTAGAGAGTACCTTATTCAAATATAGACAACTGTTGTCATAAATGTGAACCTAATAAGAGCTATAATCGTGTGAAAGTGTTTTATCAATGACAGATTATGGCTGATGGGCACATTTATAATCATGAGGTTGCATCCTATAGAACTGCTATGGAGTGTGACACTCCAAAAATTTCCTCTGACAGCTGACACAAAAAGCGCCACACCATTCCACCAGACCGCCATGGCTACTATTAAACAAAGTTGGTGAGAAAAAGTAGAGAAAACTTATACTGTGGACACATGAGATTAAAAAAAGTTCTACATGAAGAATCTCCTGCTTCCTTGAATGCAGAGAGGAACTGCTCTGATGTCCCAAAAATTGAAGGCATACAAAAGTGCGTCAACGCCCAAAGTTCAGAAAGGTTGTTTTGTATAGGTGTGCCAGTCATCAGTAATTTCCTTGGCATGAGAAACCGTTCTTTCAGGACTCTGTACAAGACCTATTAAAATTTCATTTCACAATAGAAGCTGTAATTTCCATCCATGTAACAAATGCAAAGTAACAAACAAATTAATAGTAATAATCTAAAAAACTTATATTTATGAATGGGGGTTGGTACCCATTATTTATGTCACTTATCACACATACTTTTATACCCTTAAACATCGTCTCATCCTCTGTTAACTAAATGTTCACTTATCACCATGAAGACACCGACGATGGTATTTAAGTAGACTAAATGTTTTCCTTTTTAATTATTTTGTGCACTAGTATACGTAGTACCTCGTATGTATTAGCTACTTTATTTGTGTATTCACTAAATCATGAGATGGTCTCAATTCAAGCAAAAAAAAAAATCTTCATACTAAAATTGAAAATTTAAAACTCATTTGGTAACACCACTGAAATTAGCTAAATTGACTAATTCTGCTGAAATTTATGAAGATCTAACTGAAGTGGCTGTATTGGCTAATTCTTCTCATTTATAAAAAAAAAAATACATCATATATTCATATTTAAATATATTTTATTAAAAATTATATGAAAAATAGCTAAAATGGCCTCTATAGTAACTTCAGTCAATTCAGCCAAAAAAGTAATTTAAGACTAACTTGTTTTTATTATTACGCAATTCAGTGCGCGAAATTAAAAGTCACGTGTTTGGTGAAAAAGTTGACGGATAAAGTTGACAAGCTGAAAAATAGTGTCACCAAACGAACTTTTAATTAGAGAAATTTGGCTATAACGATGGAAACATAATTTGAGGAAAGATCTCATAACAATTACGCATGTAATGATTCTCCCCAAAAATTATTACTTTAATATTGGACAAATAATTTGAGTAAACGCTAGTAATAACAATATAGCAATAAAAGCAATAGTTGCAGTAGTATATATAGCATATTCTGCTATATAGCAATATCTAATTTACAAGATATATTTTAAATGTCAGGTTTGTTTTTAAGTGATACTAGATGCAAATATTTTATTCATTGCATCTATAAATTTATATGGTAACCCAGAAATGGGGGGTCACACCGAAGATTCTAAATAAAATTCTGACTTTTTAGAGAATTGAGGGAAACATAGAAATATACACTGTGTGTATTCTTCAGTCTTTGTGCTTCATCAATTATTGCATAATGCCATGGAACTTGGGAAAGAAACTCTTGATCAACCAATGCTATGTCATAAGTTGTTAATAGAACATCAAAAGGCAGTGATGGAGCCTTGGATACCTGTGCTAAGAAGGTACAAAAATCACACCATAACACGCAATACATATAGGATATGATAGCAACACTAAGAAATGGGTTTAAAATGTAAAATCGTGATGGCATAAATTGCAACACAATGAGGTTTAAACTTGCAAAAAGAGCTGAAAAAACCAATTAGTTCACAAATTATATCCACCTGTGATTCCTTGGTAACATGCTCGTGCATTTTCCTACGCAGGTTGCGCCGATGCTCTTTCTCCCCATTATAACAGATAACATTCAGCTTTGGAGCAAATTTTGCAAATTCAGACTTCCAAGAGTCAGTCACACTAAGTGGGCACAATACCACTGCAACACATTTTGGGAATGCAATAAGGATCTTCAAAATGGAACATCCCAGTCAAATACTTTTTAACATGTTTAAAACAAGAAGGGGTCTTTACTCACAAAAAGGACCAGGAGATTTTTGTGAAACCTTCAAGTAGCTCAAAAGAGAGATTGCTTGCAGCGTTTTCCCCAATCCCATCTTCCAATGAACATTTCACACCCAAAAACAAATGGAGCAAAGTTTTCCAAGTTATTGAGACTACACATAATAAATGTACACTAAAGAAATCCAGTTCGGCTTACTTCTGAAATTTCAAGCGATGACACTATAAAAAGGCATGAGTTTATGGAAACAAACCCACGAACATTGGAAGCCATACCTCATCCCCTGCAGTGAAAGGGCATAAGTTAGGCTAATTAAAACTTGAGCAAATTTTTCAGTTTTCCAGTTTGTGCCCCTTACCGAGAATGACATTGACGCCGAGACGATATCTCCGGATAAGCCATGAGACTCCTTCAACTTGGTGAGGCTTAAGCGTCGCTTCTACTCCTAAGTCGGCGGAGCTAAGCTGCGACGCGTCTGCAGCACTTGAGTCATCGGCGTAGGTGTACTTCGCCGCCGCTATAAGCCGCCGCTCGTAATTCATGCCAGTGGCTGTGACTAAACTAGCCGTCGGAGTTATAGACGAACGACGCAAAACTCTGGCCGGTGATGTTCACCTTTTCCGACACCAACGGCAAGATGAGCGACGTGGCTGTTTTCGCGACCGACTTCAGTTATTTGCCAAAGCGCCAGGTGTCATGTGACACAAATTTTTTCCTTGAACACAAAAATAAATACTCCGTACTAAAATAAAATGGCAGGATAGCTTAACTGAGGTATGGATGCATCCAAAAATTCAAAAGCCCAAAACCATAAAATCCAAATAAAATAGAATCACTACAAAAAAAATAAAATCGAATGTAAAAAAATAAATCGAATCGCAATTACTTGGTTCAGATTCGATTTTTACTTTTCAAAACAGAATCAAACCAAATAAATCGAACTAATTAAAATATGAAATTTTATTTGTTAATTGTTGAACATTTATCCTATTATCATCAATGATCTTTCGCTCTCTTATGTTATATAATTAATTTTTGTGTTATGTGTAGTTTGGTTTAGTTTATAAAATGCATTTACGCACTCATTGCATTTAACGATGTAGTTAAATTGATTTATTATGTCTTTTATGTATGAGTATGTTGTAATTTGTTGCATGATGATAATACGAAGTATGTTTTTATCATTATATATAATCATTTTCATTTACTCCAGTACCTTAAAATCACTGAGAGCTTCGTTGTTCTCCTATTGATTCCAGTTCAAATGCTATGGGATTGAAAAAGAATACGCATATATATTTACATTTATCTATATATGTGTGTATATACCAGAAGTCCAGAAGGATGAGGCATGGCAGGTGAGGTTTGAGAAATGAAGAAGCTGACAGGACGGAGAGGCAGGTTGGAGTTCGGAGGAATGAAGGGAGGGTAATTTGGGTTTAATAAAAATATTCATTCTAATAATAAATATCCATAAAGTTTCAAATATTTACCAAAATACTAAGGTAGTGTTTGCAATTGCTTCAACTTTAATAAAGTGATTTTTTCAAGTGATTTTGGGAAAAGTGATTAATAGTAAAAGTTGGTAATGTTTGAGAAAAAAGTGATTTTAAAAAAGTAAAAGTTGGTAGTGTTTGATAAAATAAGTGTTTTTTGTGTAATAGAAAAAGTGAAAAGCAGTTTAAAGCGCCTTTCTACCTGCTTCCAGCTTTTAGCTTTTAAGTGATTAATTTAAGCAGAAGCTGTCATTTGAAAACACTCTTTTTAACTTTTTTTAAGCCAAAAGCTGAAAAACGTTTTTTTAAGCAACCGCAAACACTCCCTAAGAAGCTATTAAAAGCATGTATCTGGTAGCTTAAGGGTATGTTTGGCACAATTAACTAAAAAGATACTTTTACGAGCTTTTTAGTCACTGTTAACTTTTATTGACTGAAAAGATCTTAAAAAGAAAAGGTGATAGCTGTTTGGTAAAAAATTGACTTTTTGATTTAGTTCGGTTTGGTATACAAGCTGTTAGGACTAACTAATACTAAAAGTCACGAGCTTTTCTCAGATGCTACACCTGGTAGCATCTCAAAAAAGATCTTTTAATTTTTTAAAAGCTCTTAAAAATGTCATGACAAACATACAACTAAAGTCTTTTAAGGTCTTTTTAAAGAATAGAGAAGTTAGAAGCTAGAGCCTTTTGTGTGCCAAACATAGCCTAAGCTTTTAGCCCAAAAGCACTTCCAAATAAGCAGAATTTCATCTTTGCAAACACACTTTGTAGCTTTTTTCAATTGAAAAGCTGATAAGTGCTTTAAAAAAGCAATGGAAAACACTGCCTTTGTCTCTTAAGTTTTTTTTTTCCTTTTCTTTTTACTTTTTCCAATCTTTTTTCTTTTAATCCGATTTTATCATTCCTGCTCACCATAGTCAACATAGAAGAGACTGGGGGGGGTCGTGTCAGACTTTTGGCGCACGAGAAAGCGGCTCTGCATCATCGATGGCTTCTCCCCACAGATGTGGGTGTTAGCTAGTGTGGAGGTGTGTATTTTAGAGCTGTTTCAAAACCAGTGAGGCTCAAATGGCTCAATGTAAGCAATTGTAATTCTCGTTCCTGGCCTTGCTTACTTCCCTATTCTCTTTTCATGCATTGAAATTGGATGAACGTAACATGCATTACTCATTCTCTCCTTTCATGACCACCACTGTATTTTCAAATATATATACTCCGTACATATGTATTAAGATAGATTAAATTAAAGATGGAATGGTGGAATGTGCATTTGCACTCCTATACCTTGTATTAAAAACGGGAATACATACAAGACAATGTTCAGGCAGATTTTACAGATCCAATTGTGAACCCGAGAAGTATACATAGAGTTAGTCACCTTATCTACCGCCTAAAATCCAAGGCAAAAATGGGTCGGGTCAAGATACATGGACTGGTTGGATCATGGCATTTGGTTGGAGTCATTAATTGCACTCCCATGTTATATTCGAATCTCAAAAGCAAAATTGCATTGGGGATTGCATATGACTATATGAGTATGACAGATTATTAACTAGAGATAAGAAATCTTTCTCACAAACTATTGAAAGAACATCTTTACCCATTTGTTGAAAAAGCAATTTAATGCACTTGATTTGATAATAAGGATGCGTGTTCTAATTGAAAGTAACTTTCAAGAAAGTAGCTCCCTCGACTGATTCAATAATTTGAAATGGTTAGTACGAAGCAACGCTGCTATTGTAGCATTGTGTTGTCGATTCAAATATCATGTCATTTTTCACAGAGATTTTGAAGTGCCGAATATATAGCATTGTGTGGTCTATTCAAATATCATGTCATTGAAAGCATGTTATTGTCCATCAGGTAATTGAGATACAAGTTCAAAGCATTTCAGAAAATTTAGTATAAATATGTCCATTTTAAGTAGTGAAGCACCCAGACCATCACACTACATATCCATGGCAAGGAAAGTGGGAGTAGTATGGATCTTGGAAGTTTGATCCTAACAGGCAGGGAGGCCTCAGAGGTAGTTTGGCATGACAAAGAGGTATAGTATGTGCTCCTTTATACCTTTTTAAAGATAAAGAAACTGTTCTCTTCGCCTGATCTGAATGTTTCTGATCTGAATTTTTTAAGTTCTGATCTGATCTGATCTGAATTTTTCTGATCTGATCTGATCTGAATCTTTCTGATCTGATCTGATCTGATCTGATCTGAATCTTTCTGATCTGATCTGATCTGATCTGAATCTTTCTGATCTGATCTGAATGTTTCTGATCTGGTCTGATCTGATCTGAATCCTTCTGATCTGATCTGAATCTTTCTGATCTGATCTGATTTGAATATTTCTATTATAATTATAATTATAATTATAATTATAATTATAATTATAAGTATAATTATAATTATAATTATAATTATAATTATAATGATTATAATTGCAATTACAAATATAATTTAAATAAAATTATAATCATAATCGTAACTATAATAATAATAGTAATAATAATAATTAAAACTGAATTTAAAATGAAAAAATTTATACGTATTACACTAATTATAAATATAGATATAATTATAATTGTAATTATATTTTTAATTATAATTACTTATATAATTATAATTGTAATTATAATTACAATATTTATCTCTATAATTATAACTATAGTTATCAATATTATTATAATTACTCCGTAAAATAATTACAATAGTAATAATAATAATATTATTAATAATTATAATAAAAATAATAATTATAATCATAAATTATTATTATAATATAATTATAAGTATAATTATAATTATTATAATTATAATTAATAATAATTATAATTATATTAACATCAATTATAATATTATAATATAATAATAGTAATATAAATGCAATTAATATTATTATAACGATATTATTATATTAATATTATTATTACAATAATATAATAACAATATGATTATTATTATTATAATTAGTATTATATTATTATAATATTATATTATAATTATAATTGTAATCATAATTATAATTATGATTGTAATTATAATTATAATTATTATAATTATAACTAATTACAATTATAATTATAATTAATTATTGATATAATTATAATAATTACAATTGATTATACTTATAATTATAAGAAATTTAATTGTAATTATAATTATAATTACATATAATTATAATATAATATTATAATAATATTAATCATATTATTATTATTATATTGTAATAATAATAATAGTCTTCTTAATAATTGCATTTATATTACTATTATTATATTAAAATATTATAACTATTATTAATATCTTATTTTTTTATCATATTATTATTAATATTATTAATAATAATTATATAATAATAATAATCATAATAGTAATAACAATATTAATAATAATAATTAATATAATAATAAAAGTGATAAATCATGTTTGAAATTTATTGATCTGATCTGAATGTTTCTGATCTGATCTGAATCTTTCTGATCTGATCTGATCTGAATCTTTCTGATCTGATCTGATCTGAATCTTTCTGATCTGATCTGATCTGATCTGAATCTTTCTGATCTGATCTGATCTGATCTGAATTTTTCTGATCTGATCTGATCTGAATAAAATAAGAATAAGTAATAAGTAATAAGAATAAGACGAACAGAACAGCACCAAAAGCAAACAAGTTCAATGTTATATATTCGCAGTTCTTACCTATGGTTAATGAAATTTATGTTGGATACAAAGAATTGTGGGCCGACCAACTTAGGAGAAGCATCAGATTCACCGATTGTGGAAGTATTGATGGTGGTCGCCAGAGTTAGGGGAGACAAAGAGAGCACCAGATTAAACGATGTCTCTCTACCTGGACGAAGTTTTTATGCACGGATGAATGGGGTTAAGGAGTTTATACATGGAGTATTAGAGCATCTTCAATGCTACAATGTGTACGGTGCACGTGTAACATGAGAGAGATAGGCACACAAAATAGAATTTATAACATTTTTCTCTCATTCTTTCAACGGTTGTATGTGTTTTTGGAAAGTTTTTCTCTGCAATGTCAAGCACAATGTCTACACCTAGACATTGTGTTTGACATTGTGAAGAAAAACTTATCAAAATGATGCAAGATCCTTCAAATAAGGAAAGAGGTATTCTATTTATTATTTTTTTAATTGGCTATCACTCATGCCACGTATACACCGTTCACGTTTTAGCATTGAAGATGCTCTTAGAGCATCTCCAATGGGGATGTCTATTCTCTTACACACTCTTACAATTGGGTCCCATTTTTTATCTCACAAATTTTATGTGTAGGACCTACATATCTCCTTATTTATTTTCATTTTCATTTTTTTATATCACTTCTAACCCACTTTTCATCCACTTTTGCTCCTCGATTCCCGTGTAATGTCTATTTGTGGACATTGTCATAGACATTGTCTCCAATTTACTCCTATCTCTCTCTTCCTTTTCATTTTTCCATACACACCACTTTCTCCATATTAAATTAAAATAATCATCATATCTCTATCTCTCTCCTATGCCACATAGGATAGACTTTACTCCAATCCACTACTCCATTGGAGATGCTCTTAGAGCATCCGCATTGCTATGCTGTCACGCCCCAGACCGCAATCCAAGCGCGTGTACAACCGCCGTATAATCAAGTGACGTCACCCGCGAGTCAACCTCACTTAATTACACAAGGCGTTCGAGAATATAATCCATCCATACTCAGTAGTAAACATACATAACAACATCACATTTAAACCAATGAATAGCGGAAATATTCAACGGTAAGTCATAAGCCACAACCGGCCAACAACATGGGCATGCAAGCCCCAAAAATAGTTTATAGTAAAACAAATATCCATGAGCATGTGTTCGGTAGTTTGAAAGAAAATAAGGAAGCACAAACCACGTCTTCCTGAAGTTGATGTCACCCGTAAGAAAGTGCAGGTAGCAAGCCCTAGCTTCAACCTGAAAATGGTGGGGCCCCCCGAAGGGGTCAGTACAAGTACCGAGCGAGTAGCAGGCTAAATATAGAATAACTAGCGTTTCAAGTATAAGACCCAAACATAGGGTGATACTTATGTAAATAGTCTTTTCCCCCAAGTTAAGAAATACTTACTAGTATATATACACTTGGAAAATACCTGATCCGTAGATCACTGTTTTGTTTGGGAAAATAGTAATAGTCAATATTCTTGACTAAAAACCCCAACCCACCCATATACCTATGAGTGTATAGGACTCCTCCTTGTCCCTATTTCAATATCATAATCTATGAGTTTTGAAGATCATAATCCCTGGGTACTCCACCAATTTATATTTGAGTGTTAAGGACTTTAAGTCCTAGGGTCCTCCACCAATTTATAATCCGAGTGTTAAGGACTTTAAGTCCTAGGGTTCTCCACCAATTTATAATCCGAGTGTTAAGGACTTTAAGTCCTAGGGTCCTCCACCAATTTATAATCCGAGTGTTAAGGACTTTAAGTCCTAGGGTCCTCCACCAATTTATAATCCGAGTGTTAAGGACGTGTAAGTCCTAGGGTCCTCCACCAAAATATGAGTGTTAAGGACTTGTAAGTCCTAGGGTCCTCCACCAAAATATGAGTGTTAAGGACTTGTAAGTCCTAGGGTCCTCCACAAAAATATAATCCTATGATCAATCTCCTATCAACCTAGATAGAGTCTATATCATACTTAGTCATTCATAACTAATTCAATACATAGAGCTTATGTATCACAATCCATGCAAAGCCGTGCACTTACATAAATTTATAATCAACTAATATCAATCGATATTAATTAATCCATCATCCATCGGTCAACGTTGCCGTTGACCGCCATTTCAAGCCTTGTACATATCAACTTAATCACCACATAATTAAGTCAATAATATTAATTTGTGCTTCGTTTACACTTCAAACAAATGTGCATTTTATGTGATTCTTCATATCATATTCCATGCATAAATAATTAAATTTCTTTTATACAAACTTAACCATGTTGGCTAATCACATGTTTAAACATCATTATGAACACATATAACATTTATTTAGGTAATCTCATAATTAACCCAAAAGTTATAAGATATTAAGCCGTCCACTCACCTTGAACTAGCGTTATGAAGTTCTACCCCTCTTGGTTGAACTCCGGCGACTTTTGGTCAACTCTGGCGACAACTCCGGCGACTTTTTCAACTTTGAGAAAGTCCTTGAAATACCTTACTCAAGTTCCTAACAAGGTTTTATAATCATAAAACCCATATTAATACAAATAACCTCAAAAATATTATTTTCCGGTGAACCGGTTGTTTTGGCTCCTAAGTCCGTTCTTGGACATAGAACCATCTCTCAACCCATAAATCCATATTTATAACATGTGGAACCATACTCAAGGTCCTTCATATGATATATACTTCATATGGTAGAAGAAAAATAAAGGAATAGTTATGATAAGGTTATTACCTTAATTTTCACACTTTTTCCTAGTTTTTTCCTTCTATAATCTTCTTCCTTGGACAACCTTTGCTTGAGCTCGAGTTGCAGCAATGGAGAATAGTTTGAGAGCTTCCTCTTCCTCCTCTTTTGATAGCTTGGCCGAAATTATGGGGTGGGTGAGTGAGGAGATAGTCTCTTTGACTTTTCTCTCAAAATAATGTGGGAATGGGTCCTCCCTATTGTACCTTTGATGCCAAATGCATCTCCTCCCCATATCTTTTGTCAAACCAGCCCCCTTTGTCTAACTTAGCACAAAAAAACGTGGGGTGGCCCCCACTCATGTGGGAGGTCATCCCTTTGTGTCCAGGTGTGTACAATTGGTCCCGAAAGTTGTATTTTTCGGACTGTTTAATCATATTTTATTTTATCGGGTAAAATAAAATATATTATGTGTCCTCAATCATAACACCCCTTTGAAATAATATACATTTCAAAACTTTAATTTGGAAGTCTCCGAAATCCATTTCTGGGCTGCTATCTGTTAAATTGTTGGTACCGGTAATTGGGCTTCTTTTGACCAATCGGTCAACCCCAGGCCTTCCCATGGCCCAAATAAGATGTCCACCACTATATAAATATTATTTCGACCCATCGGAATAATTTATGTGATCTCGGGAATATCGGGCGGGCCCCACTCCCGGTGTGGGTCCCACGTGCAATTTACTATTCACGCGAAAGAAATAGTAAAAATTTACAACTTCGTAAATTCATTAATCCTTTAATAAGGTTCAATACATTATTTACGTAAAAGTAAATATATCTGGGGACGGTGTTACATATGCTGTCTAGTGAAGAAAACGTGTGCCATGTCATCAACTGGGACATTGTGATTTGACTTCCAATGCATGTAGTCTCTCGTTCAGTTACGATGACTTGGCAAAAAAAAATTAAACAGTGTGAGAAGGGGCCGTGTGAGTGTAGAAAGGCTCCTTAACATGCTGACTTGGACAACCTACACCTCAAAAAGCCTCTGCATCTGTATCACGATAGGGATTTCATAGCCGAATTTGCCGCTGCAGTGTTCCACGGAAGATATTACCGCTCTGCGCGACGTCACCTCCTTGAGAGCACAGAACGAAACAAAATTCAGATCCGTGAAATGGTGGCTCTCGGGCTATCTCTCTGACCTGCTTTCTGGTCATGGAATTGGCGGATCTGGGGCTCATCTCTCCGACCTGCTTTCCGGTCATGGAATTGGCGGATCTGGGGCCCATCTCTCTGAACAACTTGTGAACATCTAATTTGAAATCTGAAACTTTGTCCCTGGGAGATTATATGGGAGAGTTGTTCAATTTTCTGCAGCAACATCGTCTTCTGTGCGATGTAAAAGAAGAAAGACGCATCTTCTTTGTAAATATAAATAAATGGACGTGAGAACATTACAGGCTTTGTGTGGTGTAAACAAAATATATTAAACTTTAGTACTCCGTAATACTTTGATATATTAAATTCCGTATAGTAATTACACTTCTTGTTACGTGTATTAGAAAGTCTATTACGGAGTAGTTTTTAGACATTTTGCATATTTTTTCAAGACTAGACATCCAAATATTGGGGATGCTCTACGTGTATGTGCAATAAAAAGTAAAAACATACAGAGTAGTATATGGCCTTTTTGGGACATACGAGTAGTTGGGTTTTGGTTTGGCCATAAACATCAAATGTATACATTGGGTTGGGTTGGCTTTCCGAATTGAAATTGACTTACCAGGAAGAAATAAAAATGTGGATGTAATTGACATTCTTTTAAAATAGTCCGAATTTTTGTTCGAAAATTTTCACTTAACACACTTTTTGTAATTCTTCTTAATACCTCGGGGTATAACATTAGTTAAATTATTGCATTCATATTAATGAATTTAGTCTTTTATGTATATTACTTTCAAATAATGTCATTAAGAAACCTATTTATTAATAATTATATTATTGGACATAAAATGCTAATCAAAATGTTGAAAACCAGTTGTCTCATTATAACATAGGATGTAGTATTGAGATTAACAGTTAAAAAAATTTATTTCTGGCGGTGAATATGAGAGCAACCCCATTGTTTAGATTATTTAGAGATTAATTTGATGAAGTGGCTGATTTTTGTGAGATTATGATTGAGATAAAGAAATTATTTGCAAAGATTATTTGTAAAAAAAATCCAGCATCAAATTTTGAAACCAGATTATTTTAAATGATTTCTCCAACATATATGGAAAATTTGGGATAACCGTGTGATTGTTTCCTTATTTACCTCTAATTCTTTTCATGGTAAGTAGTTAGTAGCAATTAGCAAAGTCTTGCTCCTCCATACTACCCCGTAGTACATGTTCATTTAAAAAAATTATTTGATTAAAAAAGTGATATGCAGCTTCATTTTTTTAAGAGCACGTATCTTCAATTTTTTTGAATAGCACGTAGCTCCATTTTTTTTGAATAGCATGCATCATCATTTTAAAAAGTATGTATTACCTTTTAATTTTAAAAGATTGCAATAATTGAATTAGCATTTTTTAAATTTAAATAATAATAGGCACCCACAAAAGAAATGGTTATAAATACATATTAAAAATACATGTATATATTAATACATGTGATTAATAAAATTGAATGGTTATGATTTTCAGTAACATTTTTTGTTGGATTATTTTTTATAGTACAACTCATGACTTGAATAAAAGAAAAAAATTAAATTGGAGAAAACAAAGTAACTATATGTGTTGGTAGCTTTCTTTAAAAAAAAACCTTGGTGGCTTGGTGCATTAATTTCTAGACGTTCAAACATGTGTTTGTATGAGAGAGACTCTTTTAATACTTTTTATACAAAAATCACAATAATCTAAAATCATGATTGAGAGAAAGTTAGGAATATTTCATATCATATGTGGCAATGATGTGGCACAAAAAAATCGTTTATTTGAGTATTATCAATGGAGTTGCTCTGATGAACAAATTGACTACCAATTTCATTTATAAGGAAGTGTTTGAAAATGTGTACTTTTACGAAAACCTTATTGTAATATTTATTTATTCTTTCTTATTCCAAAACATACTTCATAGTAGTACCAATTACGTATTACATCTATACTCTTTGCGTTAATTTACAAATTACCTAATAATTTTAACAAATACTCCGTAACATGTTATAACTATTACTTAATCTATGTCCCCGTGCATCGCACGGGTGAGAATCTAGTACAAAGCAACATGACTCGCTAAACCTGAAACGGACAAAGTTAAGCCCAAAACGAACGGACCAGAAAAGCAAAAGAAAATGGGAGGAACAGGCACAAGAGGACACAACAGGTGAGAAGATGGTTCTGGATAAAGCAAAAAACGGGGAGGCGACGGGTCCGAGCTTCTAGACAAACTTTGGTTTGTATTTCATTGCTCTTTTGCATTTTAATTTCCACACAGATATTGTTATTTTTTGTTTTTATTTTATCTGGTATTGTAAGACTTTTGCATTAGGAGGATGTGATAAAAGTTCTGCGGTAACCGTTTTTGACTCAATTATGCCCAATTTAGGATCAATGAGTTAAGATGTTTTTACTTGGACTGTAATTTGCCCCAGACCAGACCAGACCAGACCAGATCAGACTTGGATAGTTATAAAAATACAAAGAAATCAGACCTTACCAGACCAGACCAGACCAGACCAGACCAGTTCAGACCAGACCAGACCAGACCAGCAAATTACAGTCCAAGTAAAAACATCCTTATATTGCTTTGTCAAAATGTGTTAACTCCGAGTCTGATTTAAGAACGGATGATTACGTATGATTCTTTTGTTATTTTAACCCTATTGAATGTTGATATTAATCTAACCCCCTTCTTCCAAAAAAAACATTGAAACATTCCTCAAAAAAATAAAAATAAATAATGAAACAATCATAAAATAAAAATCCCAAAGACGAAACCTGTGCGAGCCTTTCTTGCTTCCCGGAGACGGGAGAGGTTTTATCAGTTATCGCAGGGTTTTACCAAAACCTAACGATGGCTCAGTCTTCCCGGTCCTCCGCTACGAGGCTTCTATACTCAATCTGCTGTTCATCCACAAAAGAAGCTCTGTTGAATCCTAAATGCCCAGTGCTGACTCCCATTGCAGCACTTTTTGGCAGGTTCCAGCTCGGCCGCCACTTCTCCGCCGGCAGCGCTGCCGCCACGCGGTTGAAGGAAGAGAAGGACGCATTATGGAAAGATTCACTGGAGAGGGTTCGGAACATCGGAATTTCGGCCCATATTGACTCCGGGAAGACCACCCTCACGGAGCGGGTGCTTTTTTACACGGGTCGGATCCATGAGATTCATGAGGTCAGAGGCAAAGATGGAGTTGGAGCTAAGATGGATTCTATGGATCTGGAAAGGGAAAAGGGGATTACAATTCAATCTGCTGCCACGTACTGTACGTGGGCTGGCTACCAGGTGTGAAAGCTTACATCTTTATCCCATTCATCTGCAGTTTGTTTAACCAAATCAGTGATTTTTCTTTGCATGCTATACTTATTAAGTTTATTTAATTTTCAGTTAATAAGTGGTTCCTACTTCCTAGATGACGGGAAGATATAAACTTTCTATAGATAACTCGACATCTTTCAGGAAAAAATGTTCCTTTTACCGTCTAATTTTTAGTTTGCTTGATCAATGAACTAATTTTGAAAAATAAAAAGCAGTTAGTGACCATTACAACGCGTACAGTCTGGTTGTAGTAATTTGGATTTTAAAATCGTGGTCACTGCAGACGGTTATCTTGACTTCCTTCCCTTACAAAACTTGTGTGGATAACTTTATTGCAGGTGAACATAATTGATACTCCTGGTCACGTCGATTTCACCATTGAAGTTGAGAGGGCTTTGCGTGTTCTTGATGGTGCCATTCTTGTACTCTGTAGCGTTGGTGGTGTGCAGAGTCAGTCAATAACTGTTGATCGGCAAATGAGAAGATATGAGGTTCCAAGACTTGCTTTTATCAATAAACTTGACCGAATGGGGGCCGACCCATGGAAAGTTCTCAATCAGGTTAGCTAGACTGGACACTTTGAAAGTGTAATTTTAAAGTTTTACTTGCTTATTATTCTTGCATTATTGTTTCATTGCATTATGCCTGAGTAAACCTTATCTTTTTTCAAGTGGTTGTGAATTATAAAAGTAAAATCTGGAGAAGAATATCTTTTGCATAGAAACTAAGGTGTACAATTGTACAAAAAAGAGTTTCAGTATAAACTTTGCCATAAGGAGCCTTTTACGTAGTCTTCACTACACTTTTTAAGTAATGGACTAATGACGCCTTTTTTCATATAGGCAAGGTCCAAGCTTCGCCATCATGCTGCTGCAGTGCAAGTTCCTATTGGTTTAGAAGATGACTTCAATGGTCTTATTGACCTTGTGTATATGAAAGCTTACTACTTCCATGGTCCTAGTGGGTCTGTTTCTCAATTTTCATTTTATGCACTATATGCATCTCTGAACAAAGAATGCTATTGTTTCCATGATTCTTCTTATCTTATTCATATTCATATATGCATGTTACCTTTTCAGAGAGGAGGTTGTCACAGAAGACATTCCTTCAGATATGGAATCATTTGCTGCTGACAAGAGGCGTGAGCTCATTGAAGTTGTCTCTGAGGTTGATGAGAAGCTTGCGGAGTCATTTTTGAATGATGAACCTATATCAAATAACGACCTAGAGGTGCGTAGATGATAACCATTCTCTCTGCATATATCCATTAATAATTTTTTCATACAACCAATTAATTGCAAACAGAAAAATTTTACACTGCCCCACTCATTTATAAATACAACCATTTGGCGGACGTTGTACGTATTGGTCAAAAGTTGAATGATTAGTTTCTATTATTGTAGCCCCACTGCCCACATGGCCTCATGTAATAATTTTTACTTTGCTGGCTTGCTTTCTTTAAAGTGAACTACTCATACACTTCTTCTGATTTGTCTTTCTCCTCTTTTATGCTCAGGAGGCAATCCGTAGGGCGACAGTAGCGCGTGAATTCGTCCCTGTATTTATGGGCAGTGCTTTCAAGAATAAGGTTGTTATATATCTGGTTCCCTTTGTGCTGCATTTTTTATTCATATACTTTTAGTGTTTGCGTTAATAATAGTTTGTGTCAATTTCATATATAACTTTAAAGCATGTGACGCTTGTGTTTTACTACTGCAAATGTGCTGTTTTGTGTGTTCTGCCTAAGATATGTTATGCATCAGTGCCATTACCAGTTACCACCAGACTAATTGGCTAAAAAAATCAGATTTGAAATTTCGAATGAATTTTATGGGTTATCTTTTAAAAAAAAACTAAATGAGTCTTATTTTTTTTTTGGTAAAATAAATGAGTCTTATTTAGTGTTTGTTTATGTTGTCGGAACTCAGAAGTCTTTGGCAAAACATAGCATTCTGCATGTTTTGTTTTTTTGAAGGTGCACTGTTTCTTGCATGCATACTGTTTCTTGCATGGATTATTTTATGGCTTAGCTGCCGGTTAGATTACTTTAGAAGTATTTGAGCTCAGGAGAAACTGAGAAAGTAATAGCTTTTCTTTGATTAGTTTTCACCATATTTATCTTTAACTTTTTCGTTGAACTTGCATATTCTTTTTGCATTTAGTAGTTTCCTTTTTGGTTCTTACCAGGGTGTTCAACCTCTTCTTGACGGCGTTATTAAATATCTCCCTTACCCTGTCGAAGTCGGTAACTATGCTCTTGATCAAAACAATAATGAAGAGAAGGTCCAACATCTGTCTTATTGAGTAATTTTTTTGTTCATTCATTTCATTCTTAATTCAATTAATGAACTGAGTGTCTATGGATTAACTGTTGTCAGGTTATGCTAACAGGAAGTCCAGCTGGTCCTCTTGTTGCCTTGGCTTTCAAATTAGAAGAAGGACGATTTGGTCAGCTAACGTATTTAAGGTATGTGACCGTACTTCGTTAAATTCATAGTTATGATATCTGCTAGTCTTTTCAGTTTATTACGAGTTTGATACTATGCCTAGTCATTGACTGTGGCACCTTTCTTGAAGTTTATCACATATACTTTTCAATCATGCAATTCAGCCATTTTACCTTCACCTTGGCCACCACATTGGGCCATTAAAGTTGCAGTTTTTTTCTTCAATACGACCACTGTACTTTTCGATTGTGCAATCTAGCTGTTTTACATCTGTTCTTTTTCCACGAGCCAATATACAGCGGAGTGCTATAATGGCTAGACCAACTCTGCCTAATATGGGTTATATGGCTGGTTTGTTTGAAGTGGATTAGTGGAAGTAAAATAGTGAAATTATATAACTAGAGGTCATTCTGAAAAGAGGAGCCAAATCCAATGACCAAATTGGGGTTTTAAGACGTTTATTCTGCTAATTTGCTTACCTCTCCTGCACAACTGAGAAAGTTCTCTAATCATTCTTCATGAAGAATTTATGAAGGTGTAATTAGGAAGGGTGACTTCATAATCAATGTCAATACAGGAAAGAAGATCAAGGTGAGTTCAGAGAATATTACAAAATTGAATATTTACATGCTCTATTGAAATATATGAAAGCAGCACTGTTTATCCTTTCTAGCATGTCTACTTAGTTGTGTCACCTTTTTGATAGGTTCCTCGCTTGGTACGAATGCATTCAAATGAGATGGAGGTTTGTGATCACACGTTCTCTCTTAACGTTATAGTGATTTTTATAATTTTGGATAAACTAAGAAACCAATTCAATTTTTCAATTGTACTAAGCCAGCAAAAACTTATGATGGATTTTAAAATATTGAATATTTTTTTCCTAAAAGAAATAGTGTTTGTATCATACTATCATCTGCACAAAGTTACATGCATTAGAGATTGTATTTTCCTCTGTACTTATGTATGTCATTCTTATTATTCTAATATAGGACATTCAAGAAGCACATGCTGGACAAATAGTTGCTGTATTTGGTGTAGATTGTGCAACAGGTACTTAATTGAGTGAGGAACCTACCTCTTATCATCATCTTTAAGGGACTTCTCTCCCCTTAATTGGCATATTCTAGTCAAATTATCATGATTCAAGTCTTCATATGTTGAATTTTCATCAGGGGATACTTTCACAGACGGATCTGTAAGATACACCATGACTTCTATGAATGTACCTGAACCAGTGATGTCTTTAGCAGTTTCACCTATTTCTAAAGATTCTGGAGGACAAGTGAGTGGATACTCTACCAATATACTTCATCCGTTCTTTAATAGTTGCAACAATTTCCTTTTTTCGGCAGTTTCAAAATAATTGCATCATTCTATTTCAGGTAAGAAAAAATGGCAAAATGCCTCCAATACCCTTACTCAGACCATTTAATATTTATCTTAATCTTTTAACCACCCTTGTCAATCCAAAATAAAGTTCTCGCCGACTCATACTAAAACGATTGGAATATATTACAGCATCACGCACAACGAAGTAGACTCAGTATCTATCACTTCTTCTCCAACTTTTTTACCTTATTATAGAGTTATAGTTATACTTTCTGTAAATCATACCACCTCACGAGCTCTTCTTCTTCCCTTTCAAGCAAAACCATTTTATTCTTCTTCCATTCAAGCCCTGAAATCGTGAACGCCGACGACAAATCTTTTTTCTCCGGTGACTTCCCCTCAAGATCTGAATGTGGAGGCAGCACAAATTTGGTGTTCCAGATACTTTCTCACAGATTAAAGAGAAATCACCAGTTTTACATCAAAGGGAATACATATGGAGAAAGTTGTTGACCAAATTGGAATCCCTCCATGATAAGCCACCATCAAGTTTTCACGCATTAGAAGAGTTCAAAGAGAAGAAGCATGCTAACTTTACCGGGAAAAAAATTAAAAAACCATAGGTAGCTTGAGTAGCTGAACCTACAGTGCAAGGCTATTAAACAGTGTATCACTTTTTTATCTGTCCAAGTAATACATGTGTGATCAAGGGTAGGTCGGGGAGGAAATTTCCTTTTGCTAAGTTTCTTGATATCTGTACCTTTTTCCATATTGCATTTAAATCCGAATGGAGGAAGTGCGTTTTGTGTTTGAATATACTTAGGTTAAAGAATACTGATGTTGTAAACTTCATTGGCAGTTCTCAAAAGCTCTAAATCGCTTCCAGAAAGAGGACCCAACTTTCCGAGTAGGCCTAGATCCCGAGAGTGGCCAGGTCTGATTCCCGCCTTTTTGTGTTTTAAAAGTTCACCATTTTTTCTGAATCTAAACCTATGATTATTTGGGAGATAATGTGTTTTTGACACATCAATGACATCAATACATTGCCAGACAATTATTTCTGGAATGGGTGAACTGCATCTGGATATATATGTTGAGCGTATCCGAAGAGAATACAAGGTCAGCATTTATAAGCATGTTATTTTGATCTTGATCACAAATTTTTCTAACCACTAATAGTTCTGCATTTTTTTGCATTCCACTTTTTTTAGGTTGAAGCAACAGTTGGAAAACCTCGAGTAAACTTCAGAGAAACTATCACCCAACGTGCTGAGTTTGATTATTTACACAAGAAACAAAGTGGAGGACAAGGTCAATATGGCAGAGTAACTGGGTAATACATGTCAAACCACTTGTTTTCCCAACTCCGTTTTGTTTTTGATTCACTTGGCCAAGTATTTGCAACTTTACTGTATATGCTCTTTCAAAGAGTTTAAGAAAGTGAAAGGCGATTATATCTGCCTTTTATCTCATTAACCTCATTTCCCCTAGTTTCTTTGGGGTTCCTAATGGACCCTTAGGAGTTATTCAGTAAGATGCCAAGCTAATATATTGCATGTGAAATTTAGGGAAGTAAAGAGTTTACATCGTTTGGTTTGTTTTTTTATATGTAAACTGATCCGACACTTTTCCTAAACATTTCTCATTGTACTATGCAAAACATTTTTACTTAGAGAGAGTGGTAAAATACTTTACATGGTTAATATGAAACAATGCAATTACTTTCGTAGTTTCATCTAATTTAAAAGTTAATTAAACCTAATAAAAATGTATTTGTGCTTACATGTAAAATGCAAAGTGAATGTTTCTCTAAACTTGCATGCAATTAATTTGCGTGATTTTTTATTTGAAAACTACCAAACAGGATATCACATTCTCAGCATTTTTGTCTTGTTTTTTTTAATGACAGCTATGTGGAGCCACTTGAACCTGGGTGCTCATCAAAGTTTGAATTTGATAATATTATAGTGGGACAAGCTATACCATCAAACTTTGTCCCTGCAATTGAGAAGGGCTTTAAGGAAGCCGCTAACTCGTAAGTTATTCTTCCAATCATCTGTATGCATGCATGTTGATTGCAATCAACTTGGAAGGTAAGTTAAATCAGGGAACCAATTAGCTAATAAGGTGGATCTTTGAGAAGGTAAAACCTAGGTTAATTGATATTTAATTTTAAATTGTAGCCTGCATTTTTAAAAATCTAGAGAAGAAAATAATCAAGAAATGCATGCTATAACTTTAAGATACTTGGTAGCTTTTGATAGGCCTAAAAAGACTATTCAAATCTAAGTTATATCCTAAAATGGCTAAAAGGTTAAGGTTAACCTTTTATATTAATTTGTTTTTATCTCAAATTTTATATATTAACTTAATATTCATACCAAACTGGCATGAGACAAATACTTCAATACACTGCTCAGCCCAAACCAGGTTGGATAACATGGGTTGATATGGTTCAAGCAAACCTTAAGCGGTATATCCTTCATCATGGATGTCAAATAATTTACCGAATCTCGCTTCAATACCATAACCCGAGTTCCATCCTGAAAAGTTAACCTAGTAGGAGTAGCAATTATGAATTTATGATCTTATATACGAAGTATTATTATTTTTTTATATCAAACCAGTTTGAGGAAAATATTTGAACATCTTGAAACTCTTATTATAATCTCTTTATATTTTTTATTTGATAGATAACTTTTTTTCTCTAGCCTCTTCTCCCTATCACATATCCTTTGAGACAGTTAAGCTGATGATTGTGACTGTGATGCAAATTTTAATAAGGAGAGACTAAAGGTTGTGTAATAGTCATTTATGATGATGCTCAATGGCATTGTCGTGGCTGCAATAATGCAATCTGACCTCTATTGTGGCAGGGGTTCGTTGATTGGTCATCCAGTAGAGAATATTCGTGTTGTCTTGACAGACGGTGCTTCACATGCTGTTGATTCCAGTGAACTTGCATTCAAACTTGCAGCAATTTATGCCTTTAGACAGGTTCCACCTTCATCTTAATATTGATCTGTGCTTTTATCTTAATAATGATCTCAAGAGACTGTTGTGCTCTTGTTAATGCATTCTCTACTTAAACACTCCCGCATTTGGTCACCATCCTTCATTTTTTGCACTTTTGTTGCACTGCCACGTGTTACTAGCCACTTTTTGTCTTTCTTAATGCTTGTTCAAAAACTTTCGAACTAATTTTTGCGAGCAATTGACTGGGATGGACCCAAAGTAGCTAGAAACTAATGATGGTGCACCAAATGTTGAAGTAATGAAAGCAGGGAATCAAAAGTTTGAATGACCTAGTAGTTGTGGCCTTGTGGGATCAAATGTGGAAGTATTTCCAAGAACAAGAAGGGAAATGAATTGGAAGTTGTTTGTTACTGTATCCCTTGTTTGAGGTTCTTACTCTAATTCTTTTCAACATTTAACCTAACTTGTATTACAGTGTTATTCAGCAGCACGGCCCGTCATACTGGAACCTGTGATGCTTGTTGAAATAAAAGCACCAACAGAATTCCAGGGCTCTGTCACTGGTGATATTAACAAGTGAGTACTGAAATGATCACTTTTGGTATGGCGTGTAGCCGTGTATCTGTATAATTTGTGTTGTATGTGGTTAATTTAATATTTTGTAACATGGTGACAGGAGGAAAGGTGTCATTGTTGGTAATGACCAGGAAGGAGATGATTCTGTGATTACTGCTCATGTATGTACAGCTTTTACTTGGGAAGCATTATAGCTTAGATTGTTTCACATTTTTGTCAGCACAAGTTTGACATTATTACACATATTTTAATCTTTGGTAATCTTTAAATGGGTGAAGTGCACAGATAAATGTCTGAATTGGTTATATTAAGAAATTTCATACAACTATATAAGAGGCACTTGACATGCCTGAATTAATCACTACCATTCATATTTAATACAAGTATATTGTCCTCATCCATCAGTAAACTATCTCTGTTTGAGACATTAGTTGTCTAATTAATGATATTTGTAATCTCGTTTTGCTTCAGGTTCCTCTCAATAATATGTTCGGATACTCAACCTCTCTTCGGTCAATGACACAGGTGAGTTGAGTTTTTAGGTTCTCCCCCTTTTTAAACATTGATATGGAAGGGGGGAGCACAACTCCGATTGTTTATGTTTCAAACATAGACCAGGGGAACTAAGCCCTTGTTCGGCAGGAGGGCTTGCTTTCTGGGGTGGGGCTTAGTGTTTTCGGTTGGGGAAGTATTTTTGAGGAGTTATGTTAGTTTTGATTTCTTTCTTTTATTTTTAAACACAAAATATTCGACGTCATTACTGTTACATATATGTGTGTTTGTATATACTACATATAATCGTATATAGATCAATAGATTTTTTTCTATGAAAAAATATATAAAATTTAACGCCTTTTTTATTTATTTTCCAACTTGAGAAATCCTTCTCTCCATTAAATCAAGCATATCATCCTTTGAAACTGCTTCGCTCTCCTTTTTATTATTTTCCTTGTTTCTCCTTCCATCCCCTCTTTTAAGCCACACAATGGCAACATTAGCATCTCATAATGGGTGCTTGAATTAAGTTCAGATTGGTAGGTCAGATTGGTTGTGGTGAAGCCAAATTACTTCAGGGTGGTTATATTTTAGTACTACCTCCGTCCCTAAATGTTCTTCCAATTGCGGGTTATGAAGTTTGACCAACAATAAACCCGCAATTGTTTTCTGAAAATAAAATGATCTGAGTTTTCTCAGTAAATAAAATTTACATATTCTGAAATTACATTAAACCCGCTACAAAGCCTGCAAAAAAATTCAATTTTCATAAAGTTTTGATATATAAAGTAAGAGTTTAAGAGTGATTTAAGTTGACTCTCGAAAAGCGAAATGGAAGTTCTTTTAGGGACGGAGGGAGCAATACACAATGTTTAATTGTTTGTTTTAGACCACATGAGTTAAATTATTTATAATTGGCACTTGTAAGGGTAAATTCGAGGTATATTAAGCGCGCACACACACATGTGTGTGTGTGTATATACACGAATGTTCCTGTCCGGCCAGGTCGGACAGGCCCCTGGTCCGGCCACCTCAATTTGAGGTGGTTCCCGGTGGTATTTTTTGCCCAAATTGTTTGTGTATGTTCCTCATCAAGTCTAGTTCATCCATACCAAATTTGAGCAAAAAATTCAATCGGGAAGGCCATCAAATGATTTTTGCAAGTAAACTTCATTTTATATGTATATTTCGGACCAGTTAACTTGCAAAAATCATTCGACGACCTTCCCGATTGAATTTTTTGCTCAAATTTGGTATGATAGAACTAGACTTGATGATGAACATACACAAAAAATTTGGGCAAAAAATACCACCTGGAACCACCTCAAATTGAGGTGGCCGGACAGGAAGAGCTCTCTCTCTATATATATGCTTAAAGTAAATAGTGTGCGAAGAAAAATTAGTTTTGAAGTTCACCCGTAGAATTAGGGAGCCCCCTTTGGAAAAAAGAAATTTGTGACAAATACCTGTCTCATAAAAATATGTTACAATATGAAGCTTCGGTCTCCATTAAAACAGTTATGAAATTTTCAAGCTTTGCCCCCACCCACTACAGTAATATTGACCTTCCGCTTCTGCAACCGGCTTCTTATGCAGGGTAAAGGGGAGTTCACGATGGAGTACAAAGAACATTCAGCAGTTTCTCATGACGTCCAAACACAATTGGTTAACACATACAAGGCGGCCAAGGGAACTGAATAGAGTTCATCTTTCATTCTTTGATCAAAACCGTGATTTCTTTGATGTAAATTGTGGGTGTGTGACATGTGATAGTTGAGATCAAAGCGTGTTAGGAACATTCAGCAGTTCGTTATAATGATCATGAATAATTTTTTTTATTTATTACATATGCCCTTTTTGTCAAATGCTGCCACTGTCACAAATGCCCACTGGCTAATGAAGTCTGGTTTTATCATTAGTGCCGATGCCCGAGTTCAGTGTTCATTGAAACCTAATCTTAAATCTTGATGGCTTGAACCTGCCCCCTAAGGCATGGAAAGACTCCAAGCTAATCTGAGGTGGTGTACAATCCCATGGTATCTCTAGAAGGCCTATGCTACTCAGGATGACTGATGTGGCCAGATTTCTGCAAACAGAATCATTAATTATATCAGAATATCAGATGGTCATATGTTCCATTGGTCTCTGTGACTTGCTCTGGATATGCAAATCTCATATACTACTTGGACTTAGGTAACCTAGGGTTAGACTTGGTTTGGTTCTGGTTTTAGACTGGCTGGTTCCGTGTACAATAACAGAGCCTGTAAATGGGCCCGGAAATAACAGGTATTTTTCAATTTCAATCATGGGCTCCTTTTTATTGAAGAAATAGTTGGCTGATAATTAGATATAGAGTTGGTTTGGTTTAGTTTGGTTTGGTTTGGTTTGTTGCTACTAAAAAAGCAGTGAGCTGAGCTAAAAAGAAGTTGCAATAGTCCAAGAGTCATCTCCTGGTCCAAACATGACTCTTGTTTGAAGTCAACTAGATTTTCACTCGTGCGATGTACAAAATAATAGAGTAAAAAAAATTAATATGTATTTTGATTAATAGTTTTTGCAAGTTGTTTAAGTAAACCTATTTGTTAATGTATGAGAACTATAAAAATTAAATTCTATTAAAGTAAATATAATGTTATTAAGATTTAATAGGATGAATATGATATGTTGGTTGTAGGATGTTTTTAATTGGATTGATTTTTTTTTTTTTTTATCTTTCTTGGTCAAAATGTAAGTGGTGATATCTAGAAATAGATTGTTATTGATTGTACAAAATCAAATAATTTCTCAGTTATATTTGTCACAGAAACTTATTATTGTAAACTCTTGATGTTCAAGCTAATAGCTAGTTAGCTACTCTTTGTTAAATAAAACAAATATCCACCATTTCATACATATCCACTCAATCAATTCAATTTTTTCTTCTTCTATAATCTAGTGCCATATACTGATATACTTCATATATGTTTACCCAGCAAAATGTTTTTTTTTTACTTATTTTGAGTTTGGATTTTTTGTTCTTACTTCAGACCTACATAAATAATAACTGAAAGATTTAAACAAAATGTTTTAATCATTTGATCTTCATTTTAGCACTCATAATATCTTTGTAAGAAAAATTTTGAACCTGAAAATCTCCGGCAGTTGAAACTTCATGTTTTGCTTTTGGGGAATAACATTAATTATCATTAATCGCATCAAAAGACATGGCATTCACAATACAAGACGGAGGAGAAAACAACCAAATTAATCGATCAGGCAAAGAACAAGCATGCCGAGCTAACGCGTGAGCAACCTTGTTCGCTGAACGCTTAACAAAAGAAAAAGAAATATTCGTAAATTCCGAGCTAAGTTTTCTAATGTCCTCTGCCACCAGCCCTCCCGAAGAGAGATTAGAACCACTCTGTGTCTCAGTTATCGCCAATTGACAGTCTGACTCGATCTCCACAAAATCCCAGCCTTGACGCTTCAACTAGCTCAACACTTCCCGAATGCTCAAAAGCTCAGCTTCAAATGGAGTAAATCTTCCTTTCCCCTGATTTGCACCACCTGTAATGAATTCACCAGCATCATTTCTAATTACCCAACCTAAACCAAATGACTGCCCGCAGATGGAAGCGTCAACATTGACCTTCTTCCATCCCACCGCTGGACGACACCAACATGGGTTCTCCTTCACCGAGCTCCTCCCAGATTCCTGGTTATTCGTTTGGGCAGCCCTCCAATTCATAACCAAACACCAAGCTATGTGCATAAACTGTCCAGGAGGGGAGCTTTCTCCCTGCCAAACACGTCTGTTACGCTCTGACCACGGACCCCAACAACCCCATACTACTGTTTGTAATGCCTCTCCATTTTTAGAGTTAAAAACCACTTCAATCCATTCTAAGAAATGCTCATGCCCCTGATTAGCAACGTCCCAACCGACTGCAGTCCAAGCTTGCTTAGCTACCGGACACAAAAGAAAGAGATGCAACAGAGACTCCTCCTCCCCACCACATAGCCCACATTTAATTGGACAGTTAACTCTTCTTCGCCAAAGGTTCTCCATCGGCGGAAGAGACCCATCACAGATTTGCCAAAATAAAGTTTTCATCTTGGGAGGGAGATCCCAATTCCACATAGCAGACCAACCCCACCAACCCTCCGATGGAGCCTCCCCAGTAAGCCTGCGATAACAACTACGCACCGAGAATTTACCGTCACGCTCCCCTTTCCAAATAATCCGGTCTGGCACCGATCTCCAGCTAAGGGGAATGCATCTAATTAAATCACCATCCCTGTCATTAAAAAGCTCATTTAGAACATCCTCATCCCACCCAACCCCATCTGGGGAAATGAGGCCTGATACCTTAGTGTCTTCCAAACCCTCCAGAACATCAGAAGTGATTTTTGGGTTGATTTCATCTGGAAGCTACAAGTCTTTCCATACACTGATAGAACTCCCATCTCCCACACGCCAACGGTAGCCATCCTTAATAATTTGTTGAGCCTCAAAAATGCTCCTCCAAACAAAGGAGGGATTCTGCCCTAACCGGGCAGTTAAAAAAGACCCAAAATATCTAGCTCTAAAAACTTTACTCACCATGGAGTCTGGTTCTGTAAATAATTTCCACGCATGCTTAGTCAACATAGCAATATTAAATTGTCTAATCCTTCAAAACCTCATACCTCCAAATTTTTTGGGCCTACTTAAAACATCCCAACCCCTCCATCTAATCCCTCTCCCAGAATTACCAGTCCACCAAAACCCATTCATAATAATTTCTAATTCCTGGCATAACTCATTAGGAAGAAGAAAAACATTCATTGCATATAACGGCATAGCCTTGTATTACCGTTTTCAACAATACTTCTCTCTCTGCCCGAGAAAGGAATTTATTGTTCCAACCTTGAATTCTCTGGACAACACGTTGTCTCAAATAGCTCAATATCTACTTCTTATTACGCCCAAAAAGTGTCGGCAACCCTAAATACTTCTCTTTCATATCCGCAGGCCCCACACCCAGTAAGCCAATCAAGCCCTCCCTGCAGCTCAAAGAGACATTAGAACCGAAAAATATCTTAGATTTGTAAAAGTTAACCACCTGTCCTGACGCGACTTCATAATCATGCAAAACCTCCTTTATCACCGCTGCATCATCATGATTAGCCCAAAAAAATAATAAGCTATCATCCGCAAAAAAACAAGTGAGATATCCTTGGCGCTCCCCTAGCCACAGCTACTCCCTAAATCTGCCCCCAAGGTTTTCTTGTCTCCGTAGTAAGGCACTCAGTCCCTCAGCAACTAGGATAAAGAGGTATGGAGATAAAGGATCCCCTGACGTAGACCCCTAGAAGGGACAATAGGCCCAATATACGTATCATCAAATGGTATGGAGTAAGTCACCGACCGTACGCAAACCATAATAATATGAACCCATCTTTCCGAAAACCCAATATGCCTTAACATACCTTCCAAAAAAGTCCACTCCACGCGGTCATAGGCCTTACTCATATCCAGCTTCAGTGCAGCAAACCCCGTCTTTCCCTGCCTCTTCTGCTTCAAAAAATGTTGTGATTCAAATGCTATCATAACATTATCAATGATGGATCTACCTGGAATGAAAGCACTCTGCTGCTCCGAAATACACATATGGAGTAGCCCCTTCATTCTATTAGCCAACACTTTAGAAAATATCATGTTTTTTAATTTTATATATGCAATATTTGGTCATTTGAAAGATGATAAAAAATTGTGAAATCTAATGTATTTTTTGTATAATTGAACAACAATTAAAAAGTTTTTACATTTTTAAAAAAATAGTATTTTCATTTTGATTGGGTCTTGTGTTACTGTTCCTTCCTCCGCCTATGGGTGGACTCAGGCCGGTTCGGGCCCGGTCCGGGCCTAGGCCCGGTCGGGCCTCTGGTTCAGGAATGAGGGGCCCGGAACTGGCCCAGGTAATTCCCGGTTCCGGGCCGGGCCTCGGGCCTTAGTTATTTTTTTTCTCTTTTCCTACTTAACCCCCAACCCTCCCCCTCATTCCCAAACCACCCCAAATGGCCCAAAATACCCAGCCCAACCCAAAAAGAAAAAAAAAATTGAAAAAAAAAATTAAAAAGGCCCAGAACTGGGCCCAAACCGGCTGGGCCGGTTCGTGATTTGGGGGGCCCGAGCCCGGACCTGATCCCCAGCGGGTCGGGCCTACCCGGACCGGTCACTGACCGGGCCACCAGGCCATGCCGGAACAGTGCCTGGCCGGGCCGGTTCCGGGTCATGCCACCCGGCCCGAGTCCACCCCTACCTCCGCGGCTCCACCCAACATGCACATGAGCCTGACGCACTTATTGGTGCTACATGTTAAGAGAGATCTGACCTATTTTTTTACCCTATTTTCAGGCGGGAGTACCATTCATTTTCCCTACTTCGCTTTGTATATAGTAAGATTGTGTGGTATATAGTAAAATTGTAGATGTCTCCTTCACTAGTCAAAAGGCAACGGGTACTAGTCGTCTAGTCTAAAGGCAAAGGGCAAATCTATTAATAAGAAACAATCTAAGTTTCTTCAAAAAAAAAGAAAAAAAAAAGAAAGAAAAAGAAACCGCGTACTAGTCGTCTAGTCTAAAGGCAAAGGGCAAATCTATTAATAAGAAACAATCTAAGTTTCTTCAAGAAAAAGAAAAAAAAAAAGAAAGAAAAAGAAACCATCCAAGTCAATTTGCCTTTATACTTTCCAAACCAAGCTTGAAAGTGTGCTTGGAGATGAATTGAAAGCTATTTTCCAATAGGCAACTAAAGCATGCTACGACCACTTTGATGAAACAAACTCACTATCTGCATTCACCCTTATTTATGGAATCACGGCCATCAAACAAAACTCGGAGAAGATAAAGGATATGCAATTGCTCCTCAAGTGCTTATTTCAATTGTTCGCCTTCCTTACCTTATAAAGGATGCAATTGCCCTATATTTTGTAGGCCCTACCCCACATATTCATTGATAAAACTTTTAAATTAATAATAATGATAATAATGGTGGTGGTGATCAGGTGATACATATCTAGTCAACTAGATTTATGTTGCAAAAATCATGTAAGTTAATTGAGCTTCCATCAATGTTGCTTTTTTATTTTCTGACTTTGTATTTGTAGTCGTCTTATAACATCACCCCACCATTCCCAAGTCCAAAATATGTGGTATCACGTAAGTTATAAAACTTTTCTTAAATCAATGTGAAAAGTAATGAATTCACACCTCCAGGCTACTTTTTGTTATAGGTGAACTTTACCAATTTTTTCCATTTGACTGTCCTATAAGCATTTACTATTTCTTCTAGTTCTAAGAAATACTCTTTTGGTGTTTATCATTTCGTGTTCTTTTCTAAAATGTAAATCACAATTTTCACTTTGTTGATTTTTCAAGCCAGCAGGCTGAATCGGCACATGAAACATCATGTTTACAATGTACTCCGCATAGATTTAAAAAACTACTACCTCCGTCCCATTTATATTGGGAAGGAAGAGGGTGACACGGTTATTTATAAAAGTGGGTTTGTGTGGTTGATATTAATTGATTAAGTAAAAATAAAATAAGAATGATTTAGAGCCACACAAACTTTGTCAAATATGGTATTAGACAATTTAAGTGGAACTTCCCGAAAAAGTAAAACGAGACAATATAAATGGGACGGAGGATTATAATACTCCCTTCATCCCGTCAAGATGTACGTCTCATCTTTCATTTTCGATCTAGTCTACTAAAGTTATTTCATATCTGATTCTAAATCATTCTTATTTTATTAATTCAATATCAATCATATAAGTCCACATTTTTATAAAAATCATACCACCTCCTCTTGTCTTAATATTAGAAACGGATGTGGTCAAAGATAAAATTGTTCTCTTTAACAACTTCAGCTATAAAATAATTCTAGACTTACTTTATTTATTACATAATTTATCACGTGAATTCAAAATTTTAATATTTTGTAAAAACACTGAATGATAAAGCTGATAAACCAAAGTTACCAAGCGGGCCTTGATTGGAATAAAATAAGGTAAGAAAATGTTCATAGTAATTCATACGGTGTAATAGAGATTAAAGTCGATAAAATATTTAAACAGAAAATGTTCATGCAAAGAATAAAACAAAGAGTAATCTTATCATGTATGAGATGTTGAACATTATTATGAAACGGATAAAGTAATTGTTTTCCGCTTGAACTGAAATATCATAAAGATAGTGATATGGTCCAAGTGATTATTTTATCTCGATAGCAAGGGGAGGGGGAATTATTTCTGCTTACTCAGAAAGATCAAAGGCTGCCTAGAGAAAATTCAAAATTGGCTCAGCAAGTGAGAAAATAAGGATATTATTATAGCCTGATAAAACCAGCGAGTGTTGTAATCAAGAATGGCAAAATGTTCAAGCCAAACCAATGCTGCGGATACATTCCTCTATCCCTGCTAACAGGGGAAACAGAATAATAATAGCATTTCTGCAACTCTTAGCAGATTATTATAGAAATGGCTCTCGTTGTGTGGGCAGATTCAGTTCAGGTTCAGATGCTGAGTGTGGAGAAAAATACTGTTCAACCATATCGTCGGACACATCACTCAAACTTGGCGGGTTCCACTGCATTTTGGTGTTGGAAATGCAAAGGTATCAGACATAAGAAGAACATGGCATTGTGCTTTTATTTATTACACCCTCTATCTATATCCCGTCTTTACCTTTTCAGATTTTCTTTATCCCGCTAAAGGAGTGCGCCCATTTGCTTAAAAAAATATTTTTCAACTTTGAGTTTTAAAAAAGTTAAAAGTAGTGTTTTCAAACAAATGTTTCTACTTGAATTAAGCACAAAGCTGAAAGCGAGGGAATGAGTGCTTTAAACTACTTTTCATTTTTTTATTACACAAAAAATACTTTTTTTAAAATAGAACTTAATAGTGCTAAATTGCAAAAGAACAAAAACAAACACTAATAGAACTTAATATATACCAGTAAAGATTAAAATAGAGTTAAATTGACTGTATGATGGTGTACGTGAACCTCGAAATGGGACAAAGAGGGAGTAACATACTTGACAATGTTTATGATGTTCAAACGGAACCCATTCACATGTCACAAAATCAATATCGACTAAATAATTCCATTTCCTTTAATATGCATCACTTTCTTATACTCCAAAATTTGTGATATTTACCTTGGGCTTAAGATCTTTATCCACCATACGTGCCCGGACACCCTGATAAGCAGAAGACATATATCATGAAGGGTATCAACAAGCAAGGGAATTTAGCTCATGGAACCACCAATATGCACGCTACCTAAGAACATTGCTACTAGAGATAGAGACGACAAAGGGCACCAACACGCCCATTTACCAGTCTCAAACACGGATAATATGTACCCTACCTACCTATATTTAAAAAACCAATATGCATATATATATATATATATATTATATCTTAGTAATGTGTACATATAAATACACATATACACATGTTCAAATACACAACTATTTAATAAGAATATTTTCCCAGCTGGCCAAATCTGCTACAGTTTTTCCTCTCCACACCCAAACCAACCTGTACCGACTACAATCTACACAATTTCGTCCCATTAGGGTTCAAGCCATTTGGGTACCCACAATAACCCATGCTGCTGCCATCCCTAATTGTGGTAGGAATGACATCTAGCGTACAAATGCCACTATGTATTATTGCAAGAAATTACTGTTGATTTTCATACAAAAAATTATACTAAATTTGATACCACATTACCACCAAGCCCCGAATATGTAGTAGTTACTTCTTATACCTCACAGAAATCATGAGAAATTTGTCCAGAGATTGCTTGTACGCTCATGCGATACTCGCGAGTTAGACACTGTTCAAAAGTTTGAAATCTACCTTCACGTATCTGGTATGCCATACATTATAATTATTATTAAGTGGAGACATCTTACAATACAAATAAAGCTTCATGAAATATAAAGATAACATTTCAAATCACTTACAGATCTCAAAGCAACTTTCAAGCTCAATGGCGAGGCTTCTTTTAGTTTTTTTAACGTTGAAATACACCACTCGTCCTTTGCTTTACCTGCCTCCCTTTCCTGAAAAGAGAAGTGTTTAATAACATTAACGTTCAATTCAGACTAATAAGTTAGTCAAGATATGCTTATTCTGGTTATGCTACTTACTATGATGATAAGCAGAATAAGCTACATAAGGCCACCAAACGTAGCACTAAGGATATTAAGCTTTTACCGAGTCATAAGTTTCTATAATATCACCGAGATGTGAAGTTGAAGAAGAAAGCCAGCTTTTCAGAGTTCAATGTCCAAAATGAATTATTCATTTTACGTGCATGGTTTAAGAAACCAAAGAGTAAAACAAAGTGGCATTCACTCACCAAAGAATCAAAAATTTCCTCTACAGTGTCATGGCTGAAACATTTATCAAGTGTTTCCATCCTAATCAAGTGAGAGAATTAGTCATGACTCATGAGACTTACCTTCACAATACAACTGAATTTAAAAATAAATATGTAAAATACTCCCTCCATCCCGCTATGATTGTCTCATTTTACCTTTTCGGGAAATCCCACTAAGATTGTCCCATGCCAAATTTGGTAAAGTTTGTGTGGCTCTAAATCATTCTTACTTTATTTTTACTTTATCAATTTAATATCAACCACACAAACTCACTTTTCTTAATAATCGTGCCACCTTCTCTTGTCCTAATCTTAGTGGGACGGAGGTAGTATCCAGTAAAATATTTATTTTGAAAAAATATCCAGTAAAATAAGAAAAAAGAAAATACCTATGAACTACACTTGTTTGATGGGGGCGAGCAATATCTGCAAATTTTGCCAAGGAATTGTCAAGTACAGTAGGATCATCAGTCTCTAACTTTCGAAGGTGTTCCTCAATTAAATGAAGTCTCTGAGTCCAGAAGGAAGAATTTGCAAAAAAAACATGTTAAATGGCCAAGAAAGAAATTTACCATGCAAAACTGTGAAATTTTATTTAAAAAAAGAGAGACCCACCTCACTAAGCGAGTAGTGGGTAGCGAGTCCACAAGCCATCATTTCCTCTCCATTGAGATTGTCTCCCGTCAAGGCCAGATACTCTCCTGAAATATAGTTCTAGCCATTTAAGGCCTACATAACTTGTCACTAACGAACCAAAGTTATGGAATGGATAACAGAAAAATATATTTGTGATGACACATGGGGCTTTTGGAAGAAAATTTTAAAATACTTCTGCTGTAGCAATATACCAATTTCCAGACTAATAATAAGGCATGTACTTTTGTGCCTCATTTGGCAGTATACTGCAGCTCATTCTTGTTATCAGCTAAATAAGTAGCTTTTGATTTATTTATTTTGCAGAGATGAATGTTACCAAATGCTTTTCCATTCAGCAAATTCATGAATTTTAAAAAACACCTCACCAATACTTAGAAATACAACCAATTAGACCAATGGTTGGAGATATTTTTAAATATCTCTCAATATTTGCCTTCACAATAAATAGGGATGGGAAAAGGTGCAAATAGGCCCATGTACTAACCAAAAAAGGTCAAATAAGCCCTTATTTAGGAGGCTCTGTCCGGCCGTCGTCATTTGGGGTGGTTCCCGGTTGAATTTTTTGATGAATTTTTTTGAGCATCTTATTCATTAAGTCTAGTTTACTCATACCAAATTTCAGCTAAAACTTCAATCGGGAAGGCATTCAAATGAATTGTTGAAAACAAATGCGCAGTTAGAAGCACAGTTATCTTCAAGAATTCATTTGAATGTCTTCCCGATTAAAGTTTTAGCTGAAATTTGGTATGAGTAAACTAGACTTGATGAATAAGATGCTCAAAAAAATTCATCAAAAAATTCAACCGGGAACCACCCCAAATGACGACGGCCGGACAGAGTCTCCTAAATAAGGGCTTATTTGACCTTTTTTGGTTAGTACATGGGCCTATTTGCACCTTTTCCCCAATAAATAAACCGAAGTAGAAACCCCGGGTCTTGGTTTTTCATCTGTTATTTTCATGTGAGAACAAGCAGCCCCAAGATTAATACACTTTATTCTAAACAAATATATTTCACTAAAACATTGACAAGAACAGCACAAAGAGAACACTGGACACCAGGATTACCTAAATACCCAGGGAGGTGTGACAGGTGAAAGGAAGCCCCAGCATCTGGGTGAAAACCAATTAACGTCTCGGGGGTGGCAAAAACCTGAAATATATGTAACTTATCACATTTTCTGGATTGTAAGAGTTAGCATGAGGATCGAACTAATATGTCAATTCCATAGTTCATACAGTTTTATTCGTTGCAACTCGAAATGTTCCTGGAATTGAAACACCACCCCCACCACCCATGGTAATCCCATTTAGAAGAGCTACCTGCATAAGTAAAAAGAGGAAGTGTTAAAAATGAAATTAGGGGCTCAACTTGAATAATAAAATAAAAGAGTAAAAAATGAATATAAGAGAGAAAAGCAGAACACACAAGGGCGTGCCTGACAATGAAAACGATTATCATCTTTAGTTCCTTACACTAACCATGGTATAGAGGAACCACACTTACATGTGGTTTCAAGTATGTGCCAATAATGTACATAAATGTGTACAATGACCTCAATAATTCTTTAGAATCTTCAAGGTTTCCTGTTAAAATCCATAAAAAATAATTGTAAACTAAAAAACGTGGAGGCATGAAATGGAAATTGCATGTAATCTGAAAATGAATCAATTTCTTTCAGACTATAAGTAATTATTAAATCACCACCAGACCATAAGTTCGGCCCCTCTTTTTTACCATGGTTTATAAATAATACATACTCCGTATATGAGTATAAAACGAAATAAAGTTATAATGTTTATTTATTTTATTGAAAAAAGAAAGAAAACAAACTATGACAATTAAAGAAATTATCAAATTATACCCTGTTTTATCAGATGATACAGTGACACAATATCACCTCCAGCGCTAAATGCCTTGCCTTTTCCCTTCAATAGTACCAAAAAGAAAAACACATAATATTCAGTAGCATAGCTAACAGCAAGGAAAACAGAGAAAATGAAAAAATCTATTAATCAAGGCCATCGTCCGTACACAGGAAGCTTTCCAAAAAAAGAAAAGATTAAACAGCACAATAATCAACCAACGATCAATACCTTCATGACCACAAACCCAATGTCAGGATTTTCTTCCCAGCTCGTGTAAAGCTTCTGCAACCTGTACCCCTGCATAGGAATTAACAATTATCAGCAGAACAACATTGTCGTCCCTCATAAACAAGCCTCGACCAGCACAGATTTAGATGCAGTCATATATAATTCCCATTTCCATCGGCTAATTGCCAGTAGGGAGCATACCATTGCAGCGTTAAGAGCATTTAGCGCACTCGGCCTGTTAAGAATTGCAGTTCTGGAATGAGCATTTCCCTCAACCAATACCTGAAATACAAACACATGGTGAGCGTCTAACAGTATATCTGAGAGAAGGTGGGAGAGATTGAAGAAGACTAACGACGTCGTTCTGGGGATCATCAGGGAGGGAATTATCGTGGGCGAGAGGGTTTAGGGTTCTTATTTGTTGAGAATGGAAGCCATGGCCGCGAATGAAACGCTTCAGAATCGATTCTGACATCAAGCGCCGCATCAAATGCATTTTGTGTTTCCTTTCTCTACTCTCTCCCCTGGTTTGAAAAATAAATTATGGTGTCCTCGTTCATGGAGTCACCATATTTTGGTGGCATTTGATATAATGAATCACAATAAAGTAATTTGTAGTACAACTGAATCATATAAAAAATGATTTTAGTTTGGTGAAATTACCAACCCATTTTTTATTCCAACTGAACTGAAATTAAGAGCGCGTTTGGTGACCCTTTTTTCAGCTTATCACACTTGTTAGCCAACTTTTTTATCAAATACATATTTTTTTTATTTCAAGCGTTGGATTGTGTAATAAGCAAAAAAAGTAAAATTGATGTTACTTTTCTGGCTGTATTGACTGAAGTTACTATAGATGATTATTTTAGCTATTTTTCATGTAATTTTTTATTTTATTTATTAATAAAAAATATTTTAAATATAATTTTTTCATGAATCAGCAGAATCAGCCAATGCAGCCACTCCAGTCGGAACTTCATAAATTTCAGATAATCGGCCAATACAGCCCAACTTTAGTGTTACCAAACGGGCTCTAAGTAAAATCAAAGGAAATTTCCCGGGATATTACTAAAACTCATTGAGTTTCTCAATCTATATGACTAACTTAGTTTTTTACATTTGTATGATCGAAAATCCAAAATAAAAGAATATTTTGTTTATATTTAATTGTTGAATGACGAAAATGCCCTTATTTAAAATATGTGCAATTTGCACTAATTTTGTCCATTAAAATTACTGCACTTTATATAGTTCTCAATGCAATACATTATTGCACGACATTATTGCACGTCCGGTAATAATCATTGCACTTCCGCCAAAATTAATTTTCTTCTCATTCACTTTACGAAATTATTTATAGTTTTTATTTTTTATTTTTTAGATTTAATAATTTTATTATTTACGTCTAATTACATTGCACTACCGGTCATAATCGTTACACAAAAAACTTTCTTAATGCATTCATTCACTGCCATGTACAACATATATATTGCCATATTGAGTCATACGCAACAATACCTATGATGACATTGACTACCGATATTCAATGCCAATATTTAATGCACACAAATCCTAATTTTAGCAATTCCAATTTCAAATTTAGAAAAGTGAATGGACGGATCCAAAGCACAACCATGACCCATCTTCACGTGCGCAACACCAGCGCCGCACCCATCTTCACCAAACAGCACAGAGGGATACAGAGGATTGAGCGCCCCCTTACACTGGATTTTTTGGTGATGTCAAAGAACCGATCCTCGTGGCTGATTTCCAGACCGGATTCGAGATTGGCAGATTGCCATCGCATGTCTACATGTGGGCGGCGTTATTCACAATAGATCGGAGGTCTGACGCCCAGGTGGGGCGTAGATTGTGCACCCAAGCCAACGATCGGTCGTCAGAAGGCTGCAACTGTGCTCCCAGGCCAGAGATATATGCAGCGGAGGCGGCGCTGGACGATGGCCGTCGGCTAGACGGTGGGTGGAGAATCGAAAGGGGCGGCTGTGTGAGTGGGCAGCGGAGGTTATACACGTAGGTAGGTTGGGAGAATATGGGTAGAAGATTAGGGTTTTATAGGTATAACCTAAAGGGTACATTTACCACAAAAAATTATTTATTATTTAATTATTTCGAATTTAATCAAATATTTCATTTTTTAATATTATTTAAAGAAAAAAACTAGTTAGGTCATAGATTGAGAAACTCATTGAATTTTAGTCATTTTTAGGGTAATTAAACTAAAATCAATCTCATCAATAACATAAAGGCAAAAAAACACTTACTCCGAACACAAAATTCCCACTTGTGAAATATTTATAAGGTAATCATGCTTGCAACAGATTTAAGAACTGAACCAATACACAAAATGTTCACTTGTAATAACACTTTTCGTCTTACACCATATTTTAGACAGTACTCACTTTGATTGAAATTAATTTTAAGGATTAGTCGCCAACTAATGTAGTATGATTTGGTCAAATTTATCTACTCTAAGTATGTTCAAGTCTAAGTTGATATGATAATATGTGATAATGTAATGGGTATGTTTGGCAAATGGCTTATCAGCCGGCTTTTAGCTTGTTTGACCCATTTTAGCTGTTTGATTGGTCAAAGAAGCTAATAATGATGTTTGGTAAATGGCTTTTAAAATTAGGTTGTTGAGTTTGAAAAGTTGAAAAAATGGATTGTTGAAGAAGCTAAGGGGGGCAGCTTATTTATTCGGCTGGTTCAATTTACACTCTATCAGCCATGAAACAACCAATTTTACCAAACAGTTATCTATAATCAGCTAACATAACCAGCCGGTCAAAACAGCTAACACAACACAACCAGCTAACAACAACAGCTAACAGCCATTTGCCAAACATAACGAATGTAGTATTTGAATCATACTATTATTTGAGTGTAGTTTGATATGAATTTGACCGATCTGGTTGCATGTGATATGATTCGTAAATACTCCGTACTAGTATGCATGTGGTATTGTCTCATTGACTTGATATCAAGCGCTGCATAAAATTGGGCACTGAATCGATCTCAATAACCCATTTTTATGGTAAAAATATCAAAAATGATGTTTTTTTTGTATTTTTTTAGAACCCAAAAATGATGATTATACTTGTTTTTATACTCACTTTTATACTCATCTATGTTTGTGAAAGTTTTATTTTTGTTTGTAAGTCCCGTTCACAAACATGAGTGCGTATAAAGTGGGTACAAGCACACTACAAAAAAAACACGTGATGGGCATAGATTTTGGCACAGATTTGGCACGGATTTTGGCAGGGATACGTCAAATCCGTGCCAAAAACACTATGGCACGAACTATTTGGCACGAAAAATTGATAAGTCCGTGCCAAATCCCGTGTCAATCCTTTTTTTGTAGTGAAGAGTAGGTACATTAAACAATGTTAAAAAATATTGCTCCGAGTAGAGAAACTAAATTACTAGACATTAGCCATTAACTTTGTAATAGTGGTTACACATGTACTTCTCTAACGGCAAGTAACGGGTTGGTTTGCAACAGCTTTTGCTTTTAAAAAAGTGTTTTTTTAATGAAATGGGGAGAAGTGATTAAATAAAAGTTGATAGTGTTTGAGAAAAAAGTGATTTTGAAAAGTAAAAGTGGGTAGTGTTTGGTAAAATAATTAAGTGCTTTTTGTGTAATAGAAAAAGTAAAAGCACTTTTGACGCGGAAGCCGAGAAAAATAAAAGTTGTAGTGTTTGGGAAAATAAGTTTTTTTTTAAAGCCAAAAGCTGAGAAGTGCTTTTTTAAAATCAGTTTCAAACCAACCCTAAGTTGGAGTTTGCATATTGAACTTTGAGACCATTGAGATCTGTTTGGATTTGCTTCTTAAACACGCTCCTACTCTTTTAGAGACAGAAGGAGATATTGGATTTTTTTGGTGAAAATGTAGCAATACTTCTTAAGGCTTCAAAATGCTCATAGAAACAGTTTTTTAGAAATTAGGGAAGATCAAATCCTTACAGCTGATTCTACGTTTGCTTTTAAAAATGAAATAGAATCAATTCTAAACATACCCTAGGTCACATTAGCATACTACAAAAGACCAACCACATGACCCGAGCAATTTGGTTCACCAAACAAAAAAAGGAGTAGAAAACCATCAAATTAAACCAGCGTGAGTACAATTTTATGTACTCCATATTTATTACGGAGTACTAGCTAGTTCGTACCACTATCTTGAATACCATCTCCTAATTATAAATTTATAATATACTCCGATCCTTCCGTCCTGCAAAATAGTTCCTGGTTTCTTTTTTATTCCGTCCTAAAAAACAGTTATCATTTCTCTTTTTAGAAAATTTTGTGTAGCTCACATTCATTTACTTTTTTCTTACTCAACCACAATCATACATTTTCATTTTACTCACTTTCTTAAACTCCGATCCAAATCAATGCAAGAACTATTTAATGAGACGGAGGGAGTATATATATAGGCCTTGTTTGGCAATCGGCTATTAGCTGTTAGCTATTAGCTGGTTATGTCAGCTGTTTGATCACAGCTGGTTATGTTAGCTGTTTTGATTGGCTGGTTATGTTAGCTTGTTGTTAATAAATGTTTGGTAAAATTAGCTGTTATAAACAGCTGTTTGAGTGTAAAAAGACGTATAAGGACACGAGTGTATATATAATATTTGAGTAATGCTGATAGTGATAATGTTAAAACTATAATTTATTTGCAAAATAAAATATTCAAGAAAAACAATTTTTTATTTGAAATGTAAAAAGAATAAATTAAATTTTAAAATAAAAGTATAATAAATCTAAACAAATAAATCTTTTAGAAAGAACTTAGATGACTTTATATTACAAAAAAACATCAATAGCGTCGATTACGAAAAAGAATAATCCAGTGTCTCAAACAATTCATTAATACTAATAAAAAGTAAAACCGCGTCTCAAACATTTGACATACTTAGTTTCACTTAAAATAAAGTAAAGTTGGTCAAAATTATTTATGTTACACTACATTTTATGTTATTAAGTAAACAATTTAAAATACAATAAGGTTTTATTAATAAACTCCCGATCTAAATGTCACATACTGCATTATTTGACGAGCTCTATCTGGAAAATGAGAAGAAGCTCTTGTCAAAAAATGAATTCTTGATCTGACAGTTAGAATTATTAATTATAGTCGACAATAATTGAGATTATCAATTTTTCCTATTTAAAAAAAAAACTTCATATTTCAAACATAAAAGTTAATTTAAAAGGCTAATAGGTCATTAATTTGTATTTTTCCTTAAATAAAATCTTCCGATGGCTTCTATCCCACAAAGAAAAAAATTATCTTTCTGCCTAGACTTTCACATGATGACGAAGGGTTTCAGATTGCATCTGACAAATCCAAAATTTCGGATATGGGCATAGACGAAAAAAAAATACTCCGTAGTATAAGCCGAGATTAGATCTAAACGCTGGGTGATCTGGCTTTTCAAATTTCGGCTTCTTCGTATGGATAAGCCGAACTGAGAAGTTGATTACCAAACAACATTTTTGACTTTTTAACCTAGTCAAATATCTATTTAGAGTCAAACAAGCTAAAAAACGACTGATAAGCCGTTTGTCAAACAACCCCATAGAACG